GAGCTAGACACCACTAGGCTGAAGTTGAACACGGCAACAAATTTGATCACGTGTTCCCTAAATTTGGTCCTATGTTGCAGGACACAGAGCATCCCCTGTCCTACTCCCCACCCCATCCAACCCCATCCACCCCTATCCACCCCTAACCTCCCACCCCCACCCCCTCGTGAAGACCACTCAACTCTTCAAGAGGTCCTACAGCAAGTGGTAGTATCAAACAATGTTGGTACAAAAAGGTTGTTGACTAAGTGGAGGTACAGGAAGTAGATTATAACTTTAAGATCTTAATGTATGATTACAGTCATTAATTAGTTTGTAATTATACTTAGAGGTTGGGAATGGAAGAAATTTCTAATTAAGAAAATAATTTCTAAAATTTAGCTTAGTCTATCGTGACTACAACCCTCCGAAACAACCATCCAACACGATGATGCGAAAACCATCCAACACAATGATGTGACAACCCTCTAACACCATGATGTGACAACCCTCTAACACCATGATGTGACAACCATCCATCCAACACCATGATGTGACAACCATCCATCCAACACCATGATGTGACAACCCTCTAACACGATGATGTGACAACCATCCATCCAACACCATGATGTGACAACCATCCATCCAACACCATGATGTGACAATCCTCTAACACCATGATGTTACAACCATCCATCTAACACCATGATGTGACAACCCTCTAACACCATGATGTGACAACCCTCTAACACCATGATGTGACAACCCTCTAACACCATGATGTGACAACCATCCATCTAACACCATGATGTGACAACCCTCTAACACCATGATGTGACAACCCTCTAACACCATGATGTGACAACCCTCTAACACCATGATGTGACAACCCTCTAACACCATGATGTGACAACCATCCATTTAACACCATGATGTGACAACCATCCATCTAACACCATGATGTGACAATCCTCTAACACCATGATGTTACAACCATCCATCTAACACCATGATGTGACAACCCTCTAACACCATGATGTGACAACCCTCTAACACCATGATGTGACAACCCTCTAACACCATGATGTGACAACCCTCTAACACCATGATGTGACAACCATCCATTTAACACCATGATGTGACAACCATCCATCTAACACCATGATGTGACAACCCTCTAACACCATGATGTGACAACCCTCTAACACCATGATGTGACAACCATCCATCTAACACCATGATGTGACAACCCTCTAACACCATGCTGTGACAACCCTCTAACACCATGATGTGACAACCATCCATCCAACACCATGATGTGACAACCATCCATCTAACACCATGATGTGACAACCCTCTAACACCATGATGTGACAACCCTCTAACACAATGATGTGACAACCCTCTAACACCATGATGTGACAACCCTCTAACACCATGATGTGACAACCCTCTAACACCATGATGTGACAACCATCCATCTAACACCATGATGTGACAACCCTCTAACACAATGATGTGACAACCCTCTAACACCATGATGTGACAACCCTCTAACACCATGATGTGACAACCCTCTAACACCATGATGTGACAACCCTCTAACATCATGATGTGACAACCATCCATCTAACACCATGATGTGACAACCCTCTAACACGATGATGTGACAACCATCCATCCAACACCATGATGTGACAACCCTCTAACACGATGATCTGACAACCATCCATCTAACACCATGATGTGACAACCCTCTACCACCATGATGTGACAACCCTCTAACACCATGATGTGACAACCCTCTAAAACCATGATGTGACAACCCTCTAACACCTTGATGTGACAACCCTCTAACACCTTGATGTGACAACCACCTGTTTGACCAAGTGACCACAACAAGATATTTTCGTGTAAACAGACCTACCAGATCAGCTGACCATCTGGTTCACATGTCCATGTAGTTCAAATGTCCAAGTCATTCAGAAACATCGTGTAAGAGAATGAAAACTGACCAAATCCTTGCCCACAATTATTAAATACACTGACAGTGAATTATCTCCCTTAAATACACTAGGTTCTCTAAACTGACAGTGAATTATCTCCCTTGAACTAAAAAAAATATGACTAGACAGTATCGGGAATTTTAAGCTTCTGAGTAGATCGGTAAAATCCGATACAAGTTGATGTTCTATAGATCTGCCACGTAAGATGGTTAGATCTTTCAGCACGTGTGTTGCTGTAGCTGGTCACATGACGATGTGAGTGATCCGACATCAGTAGCTGAGAGAGACTAGTGTTGTGTTCATACATCCCCACATCTAACACCACACCCCCACATCTAACACCCCACCCCCACATCTAACTCCCCCACCCCACATCTAACACCACACCCCCACATCTAACTCCCCCACCCCACATCTAACTCCCCACCCCCACATCTAACACCACACCCCCACATCTAACACCCCACCTCCACATACAACAGCACACCTCCACATCCACATCTAACACCAACATCCACATCCATCATCGACACCATTGACCACCCCAACACATTCCCTCATTCTAAAAATCTCCCAGTCTTATTTAAAACACAGCTGTTGTTACAGATCCAATGTGCTATCCACACCTCCCCACTCCCCACTCCACAGACACCGCTACTTGTACACACATCATCAAAACGTCAACAAAAACAAGGAAATGTGAATCATGCCTGTGTTTATTAGACACCAACCATCACTACACCAACCATCAAAACATCAACAACAAAAATTATGTGAACATGCCTGTGTTTATTTGACACCAACCATCACGACCATGGCCACAAACACCATCAAACACCATGATGTGTTTACGTAGGCGATATGGTGTATGCCATCATGATGGTAAACTATAATTAATTGGTAACATTATGTGTCCGTGTATAGGTAACACGACATATAACATTGACATGACATCTGACTTGAACCCTGACGTGACATACAATATGTATATGACATTTGATGTAGTGGCTTAGTACGTACTGTCATGTGTATGTTTCATTGTTTTATATTATCTGTCAAGATGTTGTTGAAATCTTTGCAATGACGGTGTTAGTTATATATCGGTACAGTCATGTTGTCAGTTATATCAGTACAGTCATGCTGTCAGTTATATCAGTACAGTCATGCTGTCAGTTATATCAGTACAGTCATGATGTCAGTTATATCAGTACAGTCATGCTGTTAGTTATATCAGTACAGTCATGATGTCAGTTATATATCAGTACAGGCATGCTGTCAGTTATATATCAGTCCAGTTATGTTGTCAGTTATATCAGTACAGTCATGCAGTCAGTTATATCACTACAGTCATGCAGTCAGTTATATCAGTACAGTCATGATGTCAGTTATATCAGTACAGTTATGTTGTCATGTATGTCAAGTCCACTTCTATCAACTTTTGTTCCTCTAATAATGCCAGCAACATTGAGCCACCCCCCCCCCCCCCAGCTACTGATGAATCAAGTTAGTCCCATTGAGTTAAATAATGACTGCAACATTGAGCCTCCCCCCCCCCCATCTACCGATGAATCAAGTTAGTCCCATTGAGTTAAATAATGACTGCAACATTGAGCCTCCCCCCCCCATCTACCGATGAATCAAGTTAGTCCCATTGAGTTAAATAATGCCAGCAACATTGAGCCCCCCCCCCCCCCCATCTACTGATGAATCAAGTTAGTCCCATTGAGTTTAATAATGCCAGCAACATTGAGCCACCCCCCCCCCCATCTACTGATGAATCAAGTTAGTCCCATTGAGTTAAATAATGCCAACAACATTGAGCCGCCCCCCCCCCCCCATCTACTGATGAATCAAGTTAGTCCCATTGAGTTAAATAATGCCAGCAACATTGAACCTCCCCCCCCCCCATCTACTGATGAATCAAGTTAGTCCCATTGAGTTAAATAATGCCAACAACATTGAGCCCCCCCCCCCCCATCTACTGATGAATCAAGTTAGTCCCATTGAGTTAAATAATGCCAACAACATTGAGCCCCCCCCCCCCCATCTACTGATGAATCAAGTTAGTCCCATTGAGTTAAACAATGCCAACAACATTGAGCCCCCCCCCCCCCCCCCATCTACTGATGAATCAAGTTAGTCCCATTGAGTTAAATAATGCCAGCAACATTGAGCCCCCCCCCCCCCCATCTACTGATGAATCAAGTTAGTCCCATTGAGTTAAATAATGCCAACAACATTGAGCCTCCCCCCCCCCCATCTACCGATGAATCAAGTTAGTCCCATTGAGTTAAATAATGCCAGCAACATTGAGCCCCCCCCCCATCTACTGATGAATCAAGTTAGTCCCATTGAGTTAAATAATGCCAGCAACATTGAGCCCCCCCCCCCCCATCTACTGATGAATCAAGTTAGTCCCATTGAGTTAAATAATGCCAACAACATTGAGCCCCCCCCCCCCCATCTACTGATGAATCAAGTTAGTCCCATTGAGTTAAATAATGCCAGCAACATTGAGCCCCCCCCCCCCCCCCATCTACTGATGAATCAAGTTAGTCCCATTGAGTTAAATAATGCCAACAACATTGAGCCCCCCCCCATCTACTGATGAATCAAGTTAGTCCCATTGAGTTAAATAATGCCAACAACATTGAGCCCCCCCCCCCCCCATCTACTAATGAATCAAGTTAGTCCCATTCAGTTAAATAATGCTAGCAACATTAAGCTTCCCCCCATCTTCTGATGAATCAAGTTAGTCCCATTGAGTTAAATAATGCTAGCAACATTAAGCTTCCCCCCATCTTCTGATGAATCAAGTTAGTCCCATTGAGTTAAATAATGCTAGCAACATTAAGCTTCCCCCCATCTACTGATGAATCAAGTTAGTCCCATTGAGTTAAATAATGCAAGCAACATTGAGCCCCCCCCCCCCCCCATCTACTTATGAATCAAGTTAGTCCCATTGAGTTTAATAATGCCAGTAACATTGAGCCACCCCCCCCCCCCCCCATCTACTGATGAATCAAGTTAGTCCTATTGAGTTACGTCCCTTAGCGAGTAGTTCTCCCTAGCGAGATGTAACAAGATGACCCCGCCGTGTCTAATGTAAACAAACACACAGGCTGTGCTGTGTAACCATCTAGTGTGCTGCATACAGCTACATACTACTGTGTGTAAGGCAACATGTTTGGAATGTTTTCGAACAGGTTTAGAACACACACAGCTTTAAAAAAGTTGGATATTTCAAGCAATTTAAAAAGTTGCTCAAAAATGTGAAATAATTATGCGATATAAATATTTACAGACATAAAAAATAAAGTAATACAAAACCGGCATCTTTCGGGCTAGTTCTCTACACTGTTCCTGTATGCTAAAATGTTTGTTCTCTTGTATTAAAACTTTCTTTTGTTCATTCACATTTGGTATCAACCATATAAAATAAACTAATTCTAAATATTAAACTATGTGAATTCACTGACTTTCATATTATTATCAAAATGACATGACATCATTAATATTTTTTCCCACTTTTTTTAAGATGTCAAGCATCACTGACATTATGACATTTGATTAAAAAATTTCGGACCAATGAGTTAAATAAGTTTTTGTGTTTCACTAAAAGACAAAATATCAAACAGCAAGGTTGGCACGGCATGACAGGACACCGTTAACGTGGTTTGGTGCCTGCGTGTTCGCACGTCAAGAGCTGGTGATTTTTACGTACACGGGACACCAGTGACGTCAGTGACACCACGTGACCAGGATGTCCGACTGTCACCAACCAGGGAAGACGACCAGGCCTGGCTACAACTTGGTTTTTGTCACCCCGTTTTCCCGGGGGGTGGGGCTGCCGTCCGGCTCGTACCCCACGTTGTCCATGCCGTACTTCTCTGTCGTCTCCGACACGTAAGCCGGCAAACCGGTTTTGCCGGAGAGGTCGACCGGATGTGGGGGCTTCTCGACGGTCAGAGAGTACCCGTTGTCCAGCGCGTGCTTCTCGATGACGTCATACTGGCTCGTGTTCAGGGACGGGTCCTCTTTGTCCGGGTCCTCTTTATCCGGGTCACCGACCTCCATGTCCTGGGTGACGTCACCCAACTTCCGCCGGTCGATCCAGCTCTGTTTTGGTTTCATGATCTGTAGCATACAATGTGGCTCGGGTTAGGCAAGGGTTAGTTTCATTTATCTAGTGTGTGTGTATGTGTGTGTTAGTGTCATCGTCCAACCTCCTTTATGTAAGTGTGTGTGTATGTGTGTCATGTAATCGACCAACCTACTTTATATATGTATGTGTATATGTGTGTGTATGTGTATGTATGCATGTATGTGTGATACAATCGACCAACCTCTTTTAAGCCGTGTCGCCACGAGTAATAAAAAAACATAATAGGGATCCACATCATTGTGAAAACAACCATCAGGTAGTACAGCAGGCCAGACCAGGCGGGTTTCATGTCCTCCATTTGGTAGGCTTTAAACACCACTACAGCCTGTGGAACATGGGGAACATGGTGGTATGAGGGGAACATGGGGGGACATGGTGGTATGAGGGGAACATGGGGGGACATGGTGGTATGAGGGGAACATGGGGGAACATGGTGGTATGAGGGGAACATGGGGGAACATGGTGGTATGAGGGGAACATGGGGGGACATGGTGGTATGAGGGGAACATGGGGAACATGGGGAACATGGGGAACATGGTGGTATGAGGGGAACATGGGGGAACATGGTGGTATGAGGGGAACATGGGGGAACATGGTGGTATGAGGGGAACATGGGGGGACATGGTGGTATGAGGGGAACATGGGGAACATGGGGAACATGGTGGTATGAGGGGAACATGGGGGAACATGGTGGTATGAGGGGAACATGGGGAACATGGGGACATGGTGGTATGAGGGGAATAAGGGAACATGGTGATATAAGGGGAACATGGTGACTGGGGAATTTGGTGACTGGGGAACTTGGTGACTGGGGAACTTGGAGACTGGGGAACACGGTGACTGGGGAACATGGTGATTGGGGAACATGGTGACTGGGGAATATAGTGACTGGGGAACTTGGTGACTGTGGAACTTGGTGACTGGGGAACACGGTGACTGGGGAATATGGGAACATGGTGACTGGGGAACATAATGACTGGGGGAACATGATGACTATGTAAAGAAGGAAAAAAGGTGAAGATGGTTAAATATACCATTGGCTGTGAAAAACCAGTTATTTTGATGTGAACTTGCTACACACAAGTAATGGCAGAGGGGAGAGTACTTACAAGTAGCAACAAAGGGGAGATGACTATCCAGGTTGCTTTGAAATAAACAAAGGGGTTGAACCCAAGCATGGCCTTGACATCTTCAGCAAACTTGCCATAACCTGTTGATACAAGGTCACAAAATGTCATTTTACATTGTCACACAAAATGTCAGTATTTTGCCTTGTCATTTGATCCTAACACTGTAATGTTTCATTATTAAATGTATAAAAGTCTTTTAATGTCTTGTTTTTCTTAAAGAATAATAATAATTTCATAATAAATTCTTACATAACAACCAAGCAAAGTACAAAGTGACAATATTTTTTCTGACCATACAAATAGACAAAATGTTTCTAGCCGTACAAATATACAAAATTTACTCACCGTACAAACAGACAATATTTTTTCCTCAACGTACAAATAGACAATATTTTTTCCTCACCGTACAAATAGACAAAAGTTTCTAACCGTACAAATAGACAAAGCTTAATCACCGTACACATAGACAAAAGTTACTCACCGTATAGATAGACAAACGTTTCTAACCGTACAAATAGACAAAAGTTACTCACCTTACAAATAGACAAAAGTTACTCATCGTACAAATAGACAAAAGTTACTCACTGTACAGATAGACAAAAGTTACTTACCGTACAAATAGACAAAAGTTACTCACCGTACAAATAGACAAAAGTTACTCACCGTACAAATAGACTAAATTTACTCACCGTACAGATAGATGATGACGATGTACTCAAACAGGCCAATGAGCAGCAGGGGGAAGCCTAGCACCGCCTCGTCCACCAGGTTCAGCAGGTGGGAGCCGCCATTGGTTACCATGGGGATGCCCAGCACGAAGCCTGACAGGCAGACGAAGACACGGAACAGCAGCTGTCGCTTCCTCGTTCTGAAGAAGGCGGGAAACTCGTCGATGATGGCCGTCATGATGGTCTCGGCTGCTGAGAACTGGTGAGACAAAAGGTGAGCAGGTGGTGAGACATTAGGGTCAGGTGGTGAGACATTAGGGTGGTGAGACGTTATGGTCAGGTGGTGAGACAGAAGGTGTTCAGGTGGTGAGGCATTAAGGTGGTGAGACATCAAGGTGGTGAGACATTAAGGAGGTGAGACATTAAGGTGGTGAGAAATTAAGGTGGTCAGACATTAAGGTGGTGAGACATCATGGTCAGGTGGTGAGACATTAAGGTGGTGAGACATTAAGGTGATGAGACATTAAGGTGGTGAGACATTAAGGTGGTGAGACATTAAGGTGGTGAGACATTAAGGTGGTGAGACATTAAGGTGGTGAGACATTAAGGTGGTGAGACATTAAGGTGGTGAGACATTAAGGTGGTGAGACATTAAGGTGGTGAGACATTAAGGTGGTGAGACATTAAGGTGGTGAGACATTAAGGTGGTGAGACATTAAGGTGGTGAGACATTAAGGTGGTGAGACATTAAGGTGGTGAGACATTAAGGTGGTGAGACATTAATGTCAGGCGGTAAGACATTAAGGTGGTGAGACATTAAGGTGGTGAGACATTAAGGTGGTGAGACATTAAGGTGGTGAGACATTAAGGTGGTGAGACATTAAGGTGGTGAGACATTAATGTCAGGCGGTAAGACATTAAGGTGGTGAGACATTAAGGTGGTGAGACATTAAGGTGGTGAGACATTAAGGTGGTGAGACATTAAGGTGGTGAGACATTAAGGTGGTGAGACATTAAGGTGGTGAGACATTAAGGTGGTGAGACATTAAGGTGGTGAGACATTAAGGTGGTGAGACATTAAGGTGGTGAGACATTAAGGTGGTGAGACATTAATGTCAGGCGGTAAGACATTATGATCAGGTGGTGAAACAAAAAGTAGATCTAGCAAAACATAAAGTAAACGTTGAACAACATAAAGTGGATATGGAACATTATGAAGTAGATCAAGAAAATATAAAGTATATAAAGTAGAATATGAAGTAGATCTAGAAGAATATGAAGTAGATCTAGAAGAATTTGAAGTAGATTTAGAAGAAGATGAAGCAGATCTAGAAGAATATGAAGTAGATTTAGAGGAATATGAAGCAGATCTAGAAGAATATGAAGTAGATCTAGAAGATTGTGAAGCAGATCTAGAAGAACACACACATAGACACAGACAACTTACTTGTGTACTGAAGCCCAGGATACACAACATGAAGAAGAAGAGGATGGCCCAGAGAGTGGACACTGGCATACTGCCGATGGCCTCTGGGTACACGATGAATGCCAGACCAGGTCCTGCAGGAGAAGGTTATCACGTGACATGGGTTATACAACTAGTAGCGAAAGGTCAACGGTCACAGTTACATTGTCTCTCTCCCTGACTTAGACATACCTCCCAAATCCCTGGCATCCTACAAGATAGACTAAGATAAAGTAGAATGTAGCAGATGACATCCTACAAGATAGACTAAGATAAAGTAGAATGTAGCAGATGACATCCTACAAGATAGACCAAGATAAAGTAGAATGTAGCAGATGACGTCCTACAAGATAGACTAAGATAAAGTAGAATGTAGCAGATGGCATCCTACAAGATAGACTAAGATAAAGTAGAATGTAAGAGATGGCATCCTACAAGATAGACTTAGATAAAGTAGAATGAAGCAGATGGCATCATACAAGATAGACTTAGATAAAGTAGAATGTAGCAGATGACATCCTACAAGATAGACTAAGATAAAGTAGAATGTAGCAGATGACATCCTATAAGATAGACTAAGATAAAGTAGAATGTAGCAGATGAGCAATAAAAGGGAAGTGTTAAAATTCTGATTTTTACTTTTCCGCTTTTTCCCTTACATGGGAGTGCGTTTATATATTTAAATAGCTTTAAAAAAATCAACACGTTCAAGAACATGGACTTTTTGGCACACCAATGCTTTCTCTTTGGTCAACCATTATGACTATAACAGTTGTAGTAGTTCTCTATAGGGCCGCAAAATAAAATATAATTCTGACATTTGTTAATTGCAAGGAAAAGACATATTATTTTATTATTTTATATAAATAATTTAATAAACATTTTATGAATAATAACTGAAAATTTTCATTTCATCCTATAACTTGTGAATTTCTCTTTAATTATAAAAAAATAAATATTTAAAAATCTGCTGTAGGTTATATCCCTTATTAATTTATATTGTACACTGCAATGAATTTAAATTTATTAACCAAATGTATAACACATTATTATAATATATGTATCAAATATACAATTATAACGAAACATTTCCTTTGTATTTTCATTATGTTATATAAAGGATAGTCATGAGAAGTATAGCACGAATATTATTAAAAAGTCACAACTCGATTCCAATTCATAAAGTTACGGTGAAATGTCTTCGTCGGATTTTAAAAAAATATATCGTCAAAACGTTTTTTAAAAGTATCGACGAGACTGTTACTTAAGTATCGAACAAACTGTGAAAAAAATATCGACCAACTTTTAAAAAAAGTATCGACAACTGTTAATAAAGTATCGACCAACAACTGTTAAAAACGTATCGACCAAACTGTTCAAAATTTTTAAGTTTTGATATTTGAGCTGGCGACAAAGAATGTGTGACCTACCACCGGCCGTGACCTTCTCAATGGGGACGTTCTTGATCTTCGCCATGTAGCCCAGGGTGGAGAAGACGACAAAACCCGCGTAGAAGCTTGTGCAGCAGTTGACGATAGGCACCACAAAGGCGTCTCTGTAGGTCATACAAGATTAGGTCATACAAGGTTAGGTCATACAGGGTTAGGTCATGGGGTAGGTCATACAAGGTTAGGTCATGGGGTAGGTCATACAAGGTTAGGTCATACAAGTTTAGGTCATGGAGGTAGATCATACAAGGTTAGGTCATGGGGGTAGGTCATTGGGGTAGGTCATACAAGGTTAGGCCATAGGGGTAGGTCATACAGGGTTAGGTCAAACAGGGTTAAGTCATACAAGGTTAGGCCATACAAGGTTAGGTCATTGGGGTAGGTCATACAAGGTAAGGTCATTTGGGCAGGTCATAGAAGGTTAGGTCATACAAGGCTAGGTCATTGGGGTAGGTCATGCAAGTTTAGGTCATGGGGGCAGGTCATACAGGGTTAGGTCATATAAGGTTAGGTTATTGTGGTAGGTCATACAGGGTTAAGTCATTGAAGGTAGGTCATACAAGACTAGGTCATATAAGGTTAGGTCATACAAGGTTAGGTCATGAGGGTAGGTCATGAGGGTAGGTCATACAAGGTTAGGTCATGAGGGGTTAGGTCATACAAAGTTAGGTCATACAGGGTTAAGTCATGGGGAGTTGGTCATAAACGGTTATATCATAGATCCTAGAATTAGGTCACACATAATTAGGTCATATGTGTAGGTCGTAGGGTTATGCCATTGGGGTTTATGTCATATGGGTGAGTCATGCAACATTAGGTCATAAGGTCATTAGTGGGTGTTATATATGGTTAAGTCATAGCGGTATACAAAAAGTGATAGAAAGTCAAAGGAGGTAGGTCATACCATTGTAAGCCATGAAGGGTAAGGTCATTGGGCATAGGTCTTGTAGGAGTATGTCATAAAAATGGGGGTGGGTGTGGTAGTTAAAGTTGATGTTAATGTTTTGAGCTATAACACTTTTTGATAGTCTATGACAGGGGTCTCCAAACTTTTCAGTCCGAGGGCCGCATTAACTATGAAATTTTAGTTCGGGGGCAAGTTTTTTCCAGGCATGTCTTTCATTTTTCTGGGAAAAGTTCCTCAGCAATCACCGACAAACGATTTTTCCTTGGACAGAAAGATCTCCGCGGGCCGAATGAGGGGACTTCGCGGGCCGCATCCGGCCCGCGGGCCGTAGTTTGGAGACCCCTGGTCTATGATAACGTTTTGTGAGAATCTCCTTATTTGGCTATGTATCAATCACGTGACTTTACCTGATGATGTTGTTCTGAAAGCGGTTGTAGCTGGACATGGCTACTAGACCACCCATGCAACAGCTGAGTGAGAAAAAGATTTGAACCGCCGAGTCGCTCCAGGCCTGAAAGGTCAAGGTCATTGTGTGAGTCACATATTAGAGGGACGAGGTCAGCGTGCTAGTCACTTGTTAGAAGGTCAAGGTTAGCGTGCTAGTAACATTGTAGACATATTAGCGAGTAAAATCTGAACGTAGCTAGCAGAAAAAAAAATGTTTTTACCGTAGCGTCTGTGAGACGATCCCAGTTTGGGGTCAGGTAAAATTTGACCCCCTCGTAGGCGCCGTCCAGCATGGCGCATCTGACCAGCAGGATGGTGAGCAGGATGTAGGGGAAGGTGGCGGTGAAGTAGACGACCTGGGGATGTAGGGAGAGGTGGTGGTGAAGTAGACGACCTGGGGAGGGAGAGGTGGCAGTGACGTCAGGAGGATTTATAGAATTCCCCTTCTAACTCCTATCATGTTGATTAGGGTCATCTGATATTGCCAAAAGCACAAACTTATTACAGGACTTATTTTTCCCCTTTTGTATCAACTTTGCTGAAAGACTGTGTTTTTCCTTCTACATTTTTGTAACTGTTCAAAATATGATACAAACTACACCTACAACAGATGTTGTATAAATTTTTTTTATTATGGTCGGCTGTGGGCCCCTTAACGGCATGCCCCCCACCCCCCGCATTTTGGGATCTGGCGGCACTGTAGTTTTACCCCTGATGGTAAGAGGGGTAGAGTTGTAAAGTTGCAGCACCTTGGTGTTATTGTTGCGCAAGAATAGCAACAAATCTCAATATAAATAAGCCTGTACTCTTTAATACAATTTTCAAATGTCTTATCTCTCTTTAATGATCCTCTAATTCATCTTGGTAGCCATTTCTATTTTTATCACCTGTAAATTTACGATGCGTACATCACCTGTATTGCCCCTACTTTAAAGTAACATAAACTTTACGATCAGTCTACAAATGGCGACCACGGTGTTTCATACTTGAGTTTTTATGGCACACCGTCAGATCTTATTGCCGTCATAAGTCATGACGCTAAGGACGAGCTAGGATGAAGTCCATTGAACTGGCGGCCATTGCTGGGTTATGTAATTGTTATCTTGTTTGGTTATCGCTGGGATAAAGGGGTCGTTAGGGACATTAACGACCCCAGAATCGGTTGTTATGGCTGGCGATGGTAGTGTAAGGTAGGATTAGTTGGGTTGGGTCAAATGGGGTGAGATGGGGTGGGGTCCATTAGTACGAGGTTAAGATAATCGTTTTATGACCCGCTCTACACGAGCAAGCTTTGGTTGTTAAGTTAAAAAATGATCTTGTGATTTAAATTTTAGAACATTCTTGGTTTTCCACTAAAAAGATCAATTCGGTGGTACAACAAAACAAATTATTGTTTGCGGTAAAAAGTTTGGGACGTCTAAACAATCGTAAGGCTAGGTCTACTGCACAGTCATGAGAGTGTGAGGGTGTGTGAGGGTGTGAGTATGTGAGTGTGTGAGTGTGTGTGAGTGTGTGTAAGGGTGTTTGTGAGGGTGAGAGTGTGTGAGTGAGAGTGTGAGAGTGTGTGAGGGTGTGTGAGGGTGAGTGAGTGTGTGGTGTGTGTGTGAGTGTGTGTGTGAGAGTGTGTGAGAGTGTGGGTGTTTGTGAGAGTGTGGGTGTGAGTATGTGTGAATGTGTGTGAGTGTGTGGTGTGTGTGTGAGTGTGTGTGTGTGTGTGTGAGTGAGTACCTTGCCCAGTGACTCGATGCCTTTGAGCAGCACCAAGAAGATGATGACGAAGGCGACATGTGTGTGTGTGTGTGGGGGGGGTGTGTGTGTGTGTGAGTGTGTGTGAGTGAGTGTGTGGGTGTGTGTGAGTGTGTGTGTGAGAGAGTGTGTGAGTGTGTGTGTGTGAGTGTGTGTGTGTGTGTTAGTGTGTGTGTGTGTGTGAGTGTGTGTGTGTGAGTACCTTGCCCAGTGACTCGATCCCTTTGAGCAGTACCAAGAAGATGATGACGAAGGCGACGTGTGTGTCTGTGTGTGTGTAAGTGTGTGTGTGTGAGTGTGTGTGTGTGTGTGTGTGTGTGAGTGTGTGTGTGTGTGTGTGAGTGTGTGTGTGTGAGTACCTTGCCCAGTGACTCGATCCCTTTAAGAAGCACCAAGAAGATGATGACGAAGGCGACGTGTGTGTGTGTGTGAGTGTGTGTGTGTGTGAGTGAGTGTGTGTGTGTGTGTGAGTGAGTGCGTGTGTGAGTGTGTGTGTGTAAGTGTGTGTGTGTGAGTGTGTGTGTGAGTGTGTGTGTGTGTGTGTGGTGTGTGTGTGTGTGTGAGTGTGTGTGTGGGTGTGTGTGTGAGTGTGTGAGTGAGTGTGTGTGTGTGTGTGTGGTGTGTGTGTGTGTGTGAGTGTGTGTGTGGGTGTGTGTGTGAGTACCTTGCCCAACGACTCAATGCCTTTAAGCAGCACCAAGAAGATGATGACGAAGGCGACATGTGTGTGTGTGTGTGAGTGTGTGTGTGTGTGTGTGTGTGTGTGAGTGAGTACCTTGCCCAACGACTCAATGCCTTTAAGCAGCACCAAGAAGATGATGACGAAGGCGACGTGTGTGTGTGTGTGTGTGAGTGTGTGTGTGTGAGTACCTTGCCCAACGACTCTATCCCTTTGAGTAGCACCAAGAAGATGATGACGAAGGCGACGTGTGTGTGTGTGTGAGTGTGTGTGTGTGTGTGTGTGTGTGAGTGTGTGTGTGTGTGAGGGTGTGTGTGTGTGTGTGTGAGTGTGTGTGTGAGTGTGTGAGTGTGTGTGAGTGAGTACCTTGCCCAACGACTCTATCCCTTTGAGCAGCACCAAGAAGATGATGACGAAGGCGACATGTGTGTGTGAGTGTGTGTGTGTGTGAGTGTGTGTGTGTGTGTGAGTGTGTGTGTGTGTGTGAGTGTGTGTGTGTGTGTGTGTGTGAGTACCTTGCCCAACGACTCTATCCCTTTGAGTAGCACCAAGAAGATGATGACGAAGGCGACATGTGTGTGTGTGTGTGTGTGTGTGTGTGTGTGAGTGTGTGTGTGAGTACCTTGCCCAACGACTCTATCCCTTTGAGTAGCACCAAGAAGATGATGACGAAGGCGACATGTGTGTGTGTGTGTGTGTGTGTGGGTGTGTGTGAGTACCTTGCCCAACGACTCTATCCCTTTAAGCAGCACCAAGAAGATGATGACGAAGGCGACCAAGTTACAAACAAGCAGCTCCCACTGAACGTCGCCGATCTCCTCTATGGTCCCAGAGTCATGTAGGATGTGCTTGCTGGGGAGGGGAGGTTTAACATGGTTTAACAGGGGTGTGGGAGGAAAGGTTAAACTTGGTTTAACAGGGGTGTGAGAGGGGAGGTTAAACCTGGTTTAACAGGGGTGTGTAAGGGTGGTTAAACCTGGTTTAACAGGGGTGTGAGAGGGGAGGTTTAACATGGTTTAACAGGGGTGTGGGAGGAAAGGTTAAACTTGGTTTAACAGGGGTGTGAGAGGGGAGGTTAAACCTGGTTTAACAGGGGTGTGTAAGGGTGGTTAAACCTGGTTTAACAGGGGTGTGAGAGGGGAGTTTAAACCTGGTTTAACAGGGGTGTGGGAGGAAAGGTTAAACTTGGTTTAACAGGGGTGTGAGAGGGGAGGTTAAACCTGGTTTAACAGGGGTGTGTAAGGGTGGTTAAACCTGGTTTAACAGGGGTGTGAGAGTGGAGGTTAAACCTGGTTTAACAGGGGTGTGTAAGGGTGGTTAAACCTGGTTTAACAGGGGTGTGGGAGGGGAGTTTAAACGTGGTTTAACAGGGGTGATTTGTGGGGAGGGGAGGTTAAACCTTGTTTAGGCTCATATTATATAAACTCGAACACCTTAAAAACATGATAGATAGCCATAGACTCGGACAGAAGTGACGAGCACCTGGCATAAAACTAAACAGCCTTGAACTTGCCCAATAAGAAATGTCTAAAAAAAGTGATAGAGCTTGTCTCCAGTAAAACAATCAGACGGGCTATTAAGGGGCGAGGGGGGGGGGGGGTTAAAACCACGAGAGCCCTCAGACATGGGATGGTCAGATGTTTGGACGGTAACAGTATGTGTGCTTGACACTTTGACCGTCCGCATTTTTTATTGGTCGTCAAACATCAGACCCCGTCAGGCATCACACGGACCAAATGACAGTACAAACACTATCAGATACTTGCAAATACAGGGCGGTAGATACCAACACACCATCAACACACCACCAACACCATCAGAAACATGCAAATATAAGGCGTTAGATACCAACACTATCAGATACATGCAAATACAAGGCGTTAGACATCAACACACCACCACACACCATCACACGGACCAAATGACAGTACAAACACTATCAGATACATGCAAATACAAGACATTATACATCAACACACCACCACACACCTCCACACACCATCACACGGACCAAATGACAGTACAAACATTATCAGATACATGCAAATACAAGACATTATACATCAACACACCACCACACACCTCCACACACCATCACACGGACCAAATGACAGTACCAACACTATCAGATACATGCAAATACAAGGCGTTAGATACCAACACACCACCACACACCTCCACACACCATCACACGGTCCAAATGACAGTACCAACACTATCAGATACATGCAAATACAAGACATTATACATCAACACAACACCACACACCTCCACACACCATCACACGGACCAAATGACAGTACAAACACTATCAGATACATGCAAATACAAGACATTATACATCAACACACCACCACACACCTCCACACACCATCACACGGACCAAATGACAGTACAAACATTATCAGATACATGCAAATACAAGACATTATACATCAACACACCACCACACACCTCCACACACCATCACACGGACCAAATGACAGTACAAACACTATCAGATACATGCAAATACAAGACATTATACATCAACACACCACCATACACCTCCACACACCATCACACGGACCAAATGACAGTACAAACACTATCAGATACATGCAAATACAAGACATTAGACATCAACACACCACCACACACCTCCACACACCATCACACGGACCAAATGACAGTACCAACACTATCAGATACATGCAAATACAAGACATTAGACATCAACACACCACCACACACCTCCACACACCATCACACGGACCAAATGACAGTACCAACACTATCAGATACATGCAAATACAAGGCGTTAGATACCAACACACCACCACACACCTCCACACACCATCACACGGTCCAAATGACAGTACCAACACTATCAGATACATGCAAATACAAGACATTATACATCAACACACCACCACACACCTCCACACACCATCACACGGACCAAATGACAGTACAAACACTATCAGATACATGCAAATACAAGACATTATACATCAACACACCACCACACACTTCCACACACCATCACACGGACCAAATGACAGTACAAACACTATCAGATACATGCAAATACAAGACATTAGACATCAACACACCACCACACACCTCCACACACCATCACACGGACCAAATGACAGTACCAACACTATCAGATACATGCAAATACAGGGCGTTAGATACCAACACTATCAGATACATGCAAATACAGGGCGTTAGATACAAACACTATCAGATACATGCAAATACAGGGCGTTAGATACAAACACTATCAGATACATGCAAATACAGGGCGTTAGATACAAACACTATCAGATACATGCAAATACAGGGCGTTAGATACAAACACTATCAGATACATGCAAATACAGGGCGTTAGATACAAACACTATCAGATACATGCAAATACAGGGCGTTAGATACAAACACTATCAGATACATGCAAATACAAGGCGTTAGATACAAACACTATCAGATACATGCAAATACAGGGCGTTAGATACCAACACTATCAGATACATGCAAATACAAGGCGTAAGATACAAACACTATCAGATACATGCAAATACAGGGCGTTAGATACCAACACTATCAGATACATGCAAATACAAGGCGTTAGATACAAACACTATCAGATACATGCAAATACAGGGCGTTAGATACCAACACTATCAGATACATGCAAATACAAGGCGTTAGATACCAACACTATCAGATACATGCAAATACAGGGCGTTATATACCAACACTATCAGATACATGCAAATACAGGGCGTTAGATACCAACACTATCAGATACATGCAAATACAGGGCGTTAGATACCAACACTATCAGATACATGCAGATACAGAGCGTTAGATACCAACACTATCAGATACATGCAGATACAGGGCGTTAGATACAAACACTATCAGATACATGCAAATACAGGGCGTTAGATACCAACACTATCAGATACATGCAAATACAAGGCGTTAGATACAAACACTATCAGATACATGCAAATACAGGGCGTTAGATACCAACACTATCAGATACATGCAAATACAAGGCGTTAGATACAAACACTATCAGATACATGCAAATACAGGGCGTTAGATACCAACACTATCAGATACATGCAAATACAAGGCGTTAGATACCAACACTATCAGATACATGCAAATACAGGGCGTTAGATACCAACACTATCAGATACATGCAAATACAGGGCGTTAGATACCAACACTATCAGATACATGCAAATACAGGGCGTTAGATACCAACACTATCAGATACATGCAGATACAGGGCGTTAGATACCAACACTATCAGATACATGCAGATACAGGGCGTTAGATACCAACACTATCAGATACATGCAGATACAGGGCGTTAGATACCAACACTATCAGATACATGCAGATACAGGGCGTTAGATACCAACACTATCAGATACATGCAGATACAGGGCGTTAGATACCAACACTATCAGATACATGCAGATACAGGGCGTTAGATACCAACACTATCAGATACATGCAGATATAGGGCGTTAGATACCAACACTATCAGATACATGCAGATACAGGGCGTTAGATACCAACACTATCAGATACATGCAGATACAGGGCGTTTGATACCAACACTATCAGATACATGCAGATACAGGGCGTTAGATACCAACACTATCAGATACATGCAGATACAGGGCGTTAGATACCAACACTATCAGATACATGCAGATACAGGGCGTTAGATACCAACACTATCAGATACATGCAGATACAGGGCGTTAGATACCAACACTATCAGATACATGCAGATACAGGGCGTTAGATACCAACACTATCAGATACATGCAAATACAGGGCGTTAGATACCAACACTATCAGATACATGCAGATACAGGGCGTTAGATACCAACACTATCAGATACATGCAGATACAAGGCGTTATACATCAACACACCACCAACACACCTCCACACACCATCACACGGACCAAATGACAGTACCAACACTATCAGATACATGCAAATATAAGGCGTTAGACATCAACACACCACCAACACACCACCAGACCATAAGATAACGTCACACACACACCCAGAACACCTTACGAACATCGCAAGCCACACCATACAACACTACCACACACACCACTCCCACAATGCAAACCACCTCAAACCCATACACACCACCACACACACACCACCACACACATTACACCCACCACACACCTCCACACCACCCCACATACACCACCATACACACCTCCACACACCACCACGCACACATAACTCCCATTACACCCCCACACACCACCCCCACACACCACCCCCACCACCCCCACCTCCACACACCATCACACCGACGACCTGACACAACTTACTAGTAGTAAAGTTCACTGGGCGAGTCTGCCGTCATGTTGAGTGAGAGATCGGCTGTGGAGAGAGGCGGACAATTTGACTCTAGGCAAACCTAACTTACATCAGGGGACGTAACGTACAATCTTGGGCATAACTAACGACTGGGGACGTAACGTACAATATTGGGTGTAATTAATGACAAGGGAAGTAACTAACATCAAGGGACGTAACTTACAACAAGGGACGTAACATACAAGGGACGTAACATACAAGGGACGTAACTTACGACAGGGGACGTAACGTACAATCTTGGGAGTAATTAGCGACAAGGGACGTAACTAATATCAAGGGACGTAACTAACGTCAAGGGACGTAACTTAGGACAGGGGACGTAACTAACGTCAAGGGCCGTAACTTACACCAAGGGACGTAACATACAAGGGACGTAACATACAAGGGACGTAACTTACGACAGGGGACGTAACGTACAATCTTGGGAGTAATTAGCGACAAGGGACGTAACTAATATCAAGGGACGTAACTTACGACAAGGGACGTAACTAATATCAAGGGACGTAACTTACGACAAGGGACGTAACTTACGACAGGGACGTAACTAACAACAAGGGACGTAACTAATATCAAGGGACGTAACTTACGACAAGGGACGTAACTTACGACAGGGACGTAACTAACAACAAGGGACGTAACTTACGACAGGGACGTAACTAACAACAAGGGACGTAACTTACGACAGGGCACGCCGATGGAGTTGTTGGTCTTGAGCATCTCGACGTCGGCCTCCGTCAGGTTCTGGACGTTGTAGAGCAGACACGAGCAGTCCTTGCAGGCGATCCAGGGCAGGTCTGACGTCAGAGAGGCCACCAGGAACCTCAGGCCCCAGGCGATGATGACGTCATAGTAGATGAAGACAAAACAGGAGGCGACAACCATGGACACACCCAGACCTGACCAGAGGTGGTTGGAGATGTTAGGTGGTGGTGGTGGTTGGAGGTGTTAGGTGATGGTGGTGGAAGATGGTGTTGGAAGATGGTGTTGGAGGATGGTATTGGAAGATGGTGTTGGAAGATGATATTCTTTCTCTCTCTCACACATTCATTACCGGCTCTAGCGTTTGCTCATTAGACAGGTTGGGGCTGGAGGAAGAATTGAGCATTTCTCTCACCCATGTTACCAGTCACTAAATTTCTCTCACCCATGTTACCAGTCACTAAATTTCTCTCACCCATGTTACCAGTCACTAAATTTCTCTCACCCATGTTACCAGTCACTAAACAGACTATTTCTCTCACCCATGTTACCAGTCACTAAACAGACTATTTCTTTCACCCATGTTACCAGTCACTAAACAGACTATTTCTTTCACCCATGTTACCAGTCACTAAATTTCTCTCACCCATGTTACCAGTCACTAAATTTCTCTCACCCATGTTACCAGTCACTAAACAGACTATTTCTTTCACCCATGTTACCAGTCACTAAACAGACTATTTCTTTCACCCATGTTACCAGTCACTAAACAGACTATTTCTTTCACCCATGTTACCAGTCACTAAACAGACTATTTCTTTCACCCATGTTACCAGTCACTAAATTTCTCTCACCCATGTTACCAGTCACTAAACAGACTATTTCTTTCACCCATGTTACCAGTCACTAAACAGACTATTTCTTTCACCCATGTTACCAGTCACTAAACAGACTATTTCTTTCACCCATGTTACCAGTCACTAAACAGACTATTTCTTTCACCCATGTTACCAGTCACTAAATTTCTCTCACCCATGTTACCAGTCACTAAACAGACTATTTCTTTCACCCATGTTACCAGTCACTAAACAGACTATTTCTCTCACCCATGTTACCAGTCACTAAATTTCTCTCACCCATGTTACCAGTCACTAAACAGACTATTTCTCTCACCCATGTTACCAGTCACTAAATTTCTCTCACCCATGTTACCAGTCACTAAACAGACTATTTCTCTCACCCATGTTACCAGTCACTAAACAGACTATTTCTTTCACCCATGTTACCAGTCACTAAACAGACTATTTCTCTCACCCATGTTACCAGTCACTAAACAGACTATTTCTCTCACCCATGTTACCAGTCACTAAATTTCTCTCACCCATGTTACCAGTCACTAAATTTCTCTCACCCATGTTACCAGTCACTAAACAGACTATTTCTCTCACCCATGTTACCAGTCACTAAATTTCTCTCACCCATGTTACCAGTCACTAAACAGACTATTTCTTTCACCCATGTTACCAGTCACTAAACAGACTATTTCTCTCACCCATGTTACCAGTCACTAAATTTCTCTCACCCATGTTACCAGTCACTAAACAGACTATCCCTCCCCCCTTCCCCAGTGCACAGAACCACCCGGAAATGAGGGTCATTGAGGTCAGGGTTTCGAACTCGTGACTTTTCTGGTTGGCAAGCGATGTTTTTGTTAGAGAAAGTCTAGAGAAAGGAGATAGTCCATTATGTTCCCGTGGGGGGGGGGGGGGGGGGGGGCACGGGAACAAAATGGAATTTATATAGAAAAAACACTTTTAACAGTATCCGCCTCCCCCCACCCCCTACCTTTCCCCCCACGGGAGAAATAAGTCTGGAAGAAACACTGAGTGGCCTCGCTAACCGAAACATATTGGTTGCATGTTCTGTGTAGAGAACCCGTCCAAGGCGAACTAACATATTGAGGGATCAATGAAGTGGAAAACATTATTTTTAGCATATAATTTTATCTGAGAGATGAAAGTGGGTGCTGCATTGTGTGCCTATCTATAGATAGTTAACTGCCAGATAAATATCGCCTGGTATCGTCTTGTGATATAAATAAAAATCTGCTTTAGAAATTATTATTTTTTTTGCGAGACATGTAAATTAGAGCGTCAGTTTGTTTTGACATGTGTTAGTATCACAGGTTTTCGTCATCAGCTTGTGCGGACTGATACAGATTTACAATAGTAATACTTCTTTCTAACATGTATTTCATTCATGTAAGATAGTATACTTATACAAATTACAAAACGTCTAATTACAATTTTATTTTTAGACTGGAAAATGCTAATGTGTAATAAAAATTGTGATTCAATGTTCTGATTTATTTAAAAAAAATTGTTTTGTTTTATACACAAGTAAAAACATTTTTGGTAGCTTACCCTCATAGAGAAAACGTCAATTTAGCTGAAATGTCACTACTTAAACTTTTATTTATTATATTTAGCTATCCGTTTTTATTTCAAAATTGAAGTCTAATAAAAAATAAAATTTATTTAAGATTAAGTAAGTAAAGAAGACGTATAAAAGTTTGATTTTATTTTAAAATTGAAAACAATAATGTTATTATTAATTTCGTTACCATTATATTGCTTGCTAATTCTCAGTGTTTTGAGAATTTATTTATTGGCTATATCCCTTGATTGTTTCATTATTTGTAAATGGGAAATAACTCAACCTTTTAATGTAATACTAAATAATGCGATGCATCTATTATTATTACTATATTTTTAAATTGTACATTTAAATTTACACACACAAATGCACACACACATACATACATACATATATATATATATATATATATATATATATATATATATATATACACACACATATATATATGTATATATATATATATATATATATATATATATATATATATATATATATATATATATATATATATATATATATATATATATATATATATATATATATATATATATATATATATATATAAATATACATTATTCAAGTCTGTTACAATTATCACGCCACCGAAAACACAAGATCCACCTAGGATTCCCCATATGACAAGCTCACAGAATGTTCTAGACCTGTAGTAGTTATAGCAGCTTTGATCACGTGTTAACCCCACTATAGACTACGGGGATTTCTTGCTGTCGATATTTTAAAACACATTCACACAGAGCATTATGCAAGAATCACAATCTACAGAAAACAAAGTCAACTCATCCTTGACCTTTAGGTTGATGCAAGGGACAACAGAAACAACTCACCCTTGACCTTAAGGGCAACAAAGTCAACTCACCCTTGACCTTTAGGACAACAAAGCCTACTCACCCTTGACCTTTAGGACAACAAAGCCTACTCACCCTTGACCTTTAGGACAACAAAGCCTACTCACCCTTGACCTTTAGGACAACAAAGCCTACTCACCCTTGACCTTTAGGACAACAAAGCCTACTCACCCTTGACCTTTAGGACAACAAAGCCTACTCACCCTTGACCTTTAGGACAACAAAGCCTACTCACCCTTGACCTTTAGGACAACAAAGCTACTCACCCTTGACCTTAAGGACAACAAAGCTACTCACCCTTGAACGTTGGGTTAATGGACCATATACTGAGCGGACCCTTGCCGCCATATTGGCCGAATGCGCACTCAAGCGCAAAGAGCGGGATCCCCAGGAAGATGAGAGACAGCGTGTACGGGATGAGGAAGGCACCTGGGGAGATATTTTAAACTGCTTGAACTGTTGTCTGACTTAGATAAGGGTTTAACAAGTTGGCTAACGTGTAGAGTTAAGTACATAGTATTGTACGGTAGGCCTACTTTAAAATAAAAAATTGATTATAATTTTTTTTAAAGTACATGAGATAATGAAGTTTATTTCTTGAATTTTAAATGTTTGCAAGTTTGTTTCCTAAAAATTTTTTTAACATGAATCGTTCAGTGGATTACATATTTTCTGAAAAACTGATTGACGTCATTTACCCTCCACTTATATGACGTCACTTACACCCCCACATGTATGACGTCACTTTCCCCATATGCATGACATCACCTTACCCACATGCATGACATCACTTCTCCATGTATGACGTCACTTGTCCTCCACCTGTATGACGTCACTTACACCCCCCACCTGTATGACGTCACTTACCCCCCCCCCCCCACCTGTATGACGTCACTTACCCCCACCTCCCACCTGTATGACGTCACTTACCCCCACCCACCGGTATGACGTCACTTACCCTCCACCTGTATGACATCACTTACCCCTCCCCCCCTCCCCACCCCCACCTGTATGACGTCACTTACTCCCACCTGTATGACGTCACTTACTCCCACCTGTATGACGTCACTTACCCCCCCCCCCCTGTATGACGTCACTCCCCCTGTATGACGTCACTTACCCCCTACCTGTATGACGTCACTTACCCCCACCTGTATGACGTCACTTACCCCCACCGTTCTTGAAGCACAGGTAAGGAAACCTCCAGACGTTGCCCAGACCGACAGCATAGCCAATCATGGTCAGCACAAATTCGATCTGTTTGCCCCATTGGCCGCGTACTGGCTCGTCCTGGGGATAACAGGATGGTAGGATGGTAGGATGGTGGGGTGGTGATGGTAGGATGGTAGGGTGGTGATGGTAGGATGGTGATGGTAGGGTGTTGATGGTAAGATGGTGATGGTTTGATGGTGATGGTTTGATGGTGATGGTAGGGTGGTAGGATGGTGATGGTAGGATGGTGATGGTTTGATGGTGATGGTTTGATGGTGATGGTAGGGTGGTGATGGTAGCGTGGTGAGGGTAGGGTAGTGATGGTAGGGTGTTGATGGTTTGATGGTGATGGTTTGATGGTGATGGTTTGATGGTGATGGTTTGATGGTGATGGTTTGATGGTGATGGTTTGAAGGTGATGGTTTGATGGTGATGGTAGGGTGGTGATGGTAGGGTGGTAGGATGGTGATGGTTGGATGGTGATGGTTTGATGGTGATGGTTTGATGGTGATGGTAGGGTGGTGATGGTAGCGTGGTGAGGGTAGGGTGGTAGGATGGTGATGGTTTGATGGTGATGGTTTGATGGTGATGGTTTGATGGTGATGGTAGGGTGGTGATGGTAGGGTGGTAGGATGGTGATGGTTGGATGGTGATGGTTTGATGGTGATGGTTTGATGGTGATGGTAGGGTGGTGATGGTAGCGTGGTGAGGGTAGGGTGGTAGGATGGTGATGGTTTGATGGTGATGGTTTGATGGTGATGGTTTGATGGTGATGGTAGGGTGGTGATGGTAGGGTGGTAGGATGGTGATGGTTGGATGGTGATGGTTTGATGGTGATGGTTTGATGGTGATGGTAGGGTGGTGATGGTAGCGTGGTGATGGTAGGGTAGTGATTGTTGGGTGGTAGTGGTAAGATGGTTAAGGTAGGATGGTGATGGAAAAGTGATGGTGGTAGGAACAGTAGAGGTATGAAGTGTTTTAATTGCTGATGTTAAACAGTCAAGCTCCACCAAACGTAATAAGGTAACCCAGTAGAATGGAGGTGTAATTTATCTGAGTAAACGTTTCAATTTAAGAGAATGGCATTCTACTTCCTTTCCCGGTCGCATCTAAAACATTTTGTGACCAGTAAAACATCCATACTTCTTTAGTCTGTAAGTATTAGTGACTTTAGCCCCCCCCCCCCTCCCCCGTCCCGCCTGTATCATTCTATAACGACCAGACAAAGTAACTCTCCCAACGACAACATTTGTTGACCAACAGAACTTTGACTGTTCGTGTGTTTTAGCGGCGTGTGACGGGTTGTCTTCACGTCAACAACCGGCAGGTTTAAAATCTGATGTGTTTTAGCGCCGTGTGACGGGTTGTCTTCACGTCAACAACCGGCAGGTTTAAAATCTGATGTCTATCACATCCGGTGTGATAATTCTTGTTTACAAAATAGGAACAGGACAAGGGGAAATTTTACACCGGTCCACAACTTCATATTTATTTGTACAAAAGCTCATATTTATCTGAACAAAAAGCTCATGTTTTATTTGAACAAAAATCTCATGTTTATCTGAACAACTCTGGATCTGTGTAGAAAAATGTAGGTCGTAGACCAGGTGGCAGCTATAGGCTGGGGGACGGGGGGGGGGGGGTGACGGGGGGGGACGGGGGGGGGGGGGCGTGTACGTTATCCGGGGGAATAGTTTATGGCTGCAGTTATTTTGTTTTATAGCTAGAGGTACGCAAGGACTTAATTGTGGGTAGGTCACATAGATAGATCTACTCGGTGGGTGTGGTCATGGGCGTGTCTATAGGAGGGTGGGGGTGGGTCCGGGAGGGCGATTATTATTGTTACACCCTACAACGTTGGCTGTCGTGACGTCATGGTTTAAGAGGATGGTACAGTTTTGAGATGAAAGGTGGGAAACGTATATTGGGGGGGGGGGGCGCAAGGAGGGGGTTGCGGGCCGCATTTGGTGACACTATTTGGTGGGGGGGGGGGGGGGTGACACCAAGACAAAAAAATGCAGAATTTTCAAAGATTTTTTTTTTTATCATTTATGTTAAAAATTGCTATAGAAAATGTATCATTAAACAGAGATTCGAAAGAGTGGAAGGGGGTAAGGGGGGAGGGGTGACACCAAGAGACAAAAATTTCAATTCACAGAAATAGGAAAGCTAATTAGGGAAGGCTTAACATTTTGATAAATGCCGGATACGTCATGTCGCGTATATTGGGTTAGGGTTACTGTAGAAAATTCATCGCCCAAACTGATGTCCAAAGTTGTGATACTTCTCAACTTTACCGATTTTTAGTTTTAGCATGTGTATTTTTTTTTAAATAAATGATTCAGAACTTCTGTGAGGCGGGCGGAGAAATTGAAAGATAAAATACTTTAAAAAAACTTTTTAAAAAACCACGTTTTTCTTGTGGACTAAAAAGTAGAAAATAACTATTTACATACATTTGATGACAAAAACGTTTTTTGTCCACAAGAAAAACGTGGTTTTTTAAAAAGTTTTTTTTAAGTATTTTATTTTCTCCTTTTTAGTCCGTTGCTACACATGAAAAACGTGGTTTTTAAAAAAGTTTTTTATATAGTTTATTTTCTACTTTATCTAATGACTTGATTAAGTATGAATTGACTAAGTGTTTATAAATACACGGACTAAAAAAATCTTGAGCGACCAGGATTCGAACCTGGGTTGTCGCGGCCACAACGCGAAGTACTAACCACTATACGATCACGGCCAGCGCGCTCACATCGATTGGGGCCGAAGTAACTGTGTCAATAAGCCTCCAGTCTTGTCGGTATCTTTAGAAATCATGTCCTCAATTTTATGGTCCTTGGGGCGTAATTAAATTAAGCTAATTACGGTCTCTAATTGCTAGTTTTTATGATTGCATCTGAAATTTTTAGGCGAAAGTAACCTGCATGCCAAATTTCAGATCTATAGAGCAATCAGAAGTGGGCTAATTTTCGATGTCAATTTTAACAACAAACACACAAACGCGAAGCTGAGTTAATAAAAACGTGTTAAATAAAATACTTAAAAAAAAACTTTTTAAAAAACCACGTTTTTCTTGTGGACTAAAAAGTAGAAAATAACTATTTACATACATTTGATGACAAAAAACGTGGGTACGTTCACCATCAAATTTCCCGACCCATCTGCCCGACCCACGTTTTTTGTCATCAAATGTATGTAAATAGTTATTTTCTACTTTTTAGTCCACAAGAAAAACGTGGTTTTTTAAAAAGTTTTTTTTAAGTATTTTATTTTCTCCTTTTTAGTCCGTTGCTACACATGAAAAACGTGGTTTTTAAAAAAGTGTTTATAAATACACGGACTAAAAATCTTGAGCGACCAGGATTCGAACCTGGGTTGTCGCGGCCACAACGCGAAGTACTAACCACTATACGATCACGGCCAGCGCGCTCACATCGATTGGGGCCGAAGTAACTGTGTCAATAGGACTGCAGTCTTGTCGGTATCTTTAGAAATCATGTCCTCAATTTTATGGTCCTTGGGGCGTAATTAAATTAAGCTAATTACGGTCACTAATTGCTAGTTTTTATGATTGCATCTGAAATTGTTAGGCGAAAGTAGCATGCATGCCAAATTTCAGGTCTCTAGAGCAATCAGAAGTGGGCTAATTTTCGATGTCAATTTTAACAACAAACATCCAAACAAACAAACGCGAAGCTGAGTTAAGAAAAACGTTTTAAAAATAGAAAAGTAGAGAACAATAAACTAACGACCGAAACCTACCGATTGTTGAGACAATCACCGTGACGCAACATCCGTGTACTAGCATGTCGCAGCCGATTTTATGGTCACGCTCCTACAGGGGGGGGGGATGTCCAACAGATATGGACAATTTGTTGGTCACGCTCCTACAGGGGGGGGGGGAATGTCCAACAGACATGGACAATTTGTTGGATCGTGTCTCACGCATGGTAACAAGATCGGAACATTTAGTGCGCTAATTAACGCAAAAATTAATGCATTATTTTACTTGAATAAAAACACGTCAACGCAATGCGAAAATCAAACAACTGCTGCCTTGTAGTTTGTTCTTGGTTCGACAAGGGCTATGGAAGCAAATCCAAAAAGGAAAACAGGCTGAAATTAAATCGGAGTCAATGGCCTCAATGGTGCATAACAAGTTGACACTTAATATTTAATTATTTAAAAAAAATGAAGAACGTAGAAGAAGAAAGTAGTTTAAAGATTCAGGCAAAAACCGAGACCACAAAAAATAAAAAAAAATTAAAAAAAAATAATTGCAATGAATGTCCCCTGGTTATGGTAGTTTTCCTAAGTTTGCCAAAGTTTTGTTCGACCAAAATGTTATTAAGCAAATTCCCCCCCCCCCCCCACGTTTCTTCCGTCTTTTTCTTTGTTTGTAAACAAAAACAAACGCGAATTCAAGTCGTTTGGATTTTGTTTGGCCATCAACAAACATTCGCCATTATTTTCGAAACTGCAAAATCCAAAGTGGGTTTTAGGCAACAAAGTAATATTTTACGTGTTTTTTTAAAAAAATATATTTATAACTAAGACGACGTAATGATTAATTTTTTGATCTGAGGTTTAAGATTAAAGGATTGGACTCGGGTGAATAATTGAGTACTCGTATAAGTAATTCCATTGTCGTCAATACATACGACTGTGGGTGACAGGCGTGGGGGGGGGGGGAGGCTTAATTTTTTTTTAAATCTGTAGATGTAAACAGCATAAAGAAGAAATGACCACGCTCCTCCATTTTTGTTTATTTACACATTTTTGAAAATACGTTATTATAAAACTTTAATTCGCATGAGCTATTTTTAGCTGTACTATTTTTAAACTTGAACTAGTGACGTCACCTATCCCCTAAACCTGCTGATGCATGTGATGGAAACTTTTGGTCGGGGACAGACGCACGTGACTGGGGCACTTCCTGTTTGTATGACCCCATTCACACGTTTGAAAAACATTTGCAAAAATTTTTTTTGTGAGTTCCGGGAGTCCGTGGTGTTTTAGTCAATCACCAGCCGTGGTGTTTTAGTCAATCACCAGCCGTGGTGTTTTAGTCAGTCAATCACCAGCCGTGGTGTTTTAGTCAGACGATCACCAGCTGTGGTGTTTTAGTCAATCACCAGCCGTGGTGTTTTAGTCAATCACCAGCCGTGGTGTTTTAGTCAATCACCAGCCGTGGTGTTTTAGTCAATCACCAGCCGTGGTGTTTTAGTCAGACGATCACCAGCTGTGGTGTTTTAGTCAATCACCAGCCGAGGTGTTTTAGTCAATCACCAGCCGTGGTGTTTTAGTCAGACGATCACCAGCTGTGGTGTTTTAGTCAATCACCAGCCGTGGTGTTTTAGTCAATCACCAGCCGTGGTGTTTTAGTCAATCACCAGCCGTGGTGTTTTAGTCAATCACCAGCCGTGGTGTTTTAGTCAGTCAATCACCAGCCGTGGTGTTTTAGTCAATCACCAGCCGTGGTGTTTTAGTCAATCACCAGCCGTGGTGTTTTAGTCAATCACCAGCCGTGGTGTTTTAGTCAATCACCAGCCGTGGTGTTTTAGTCAATCACCAGCCGTGGTGTTTTAGTCAATCACCAGCCGTGGTGTTTTAGTCAGACGATCACCAGCTGTGGTGTTTTAGTCAATCACCAGCCGAGGTGTTTTAGTCAATCACCAGCCGTGGTGTTTTAGTCAATCACCAGCTGTGGTGTTTTAGTCAATCACCAGCCCGTGGTGTTTTAGTCAATCACCAGCCCGTGGTGTTTTAGTCAATCACCAGCCGTGGTGTTTTAGTCAATCACCAGCCGTGGTGTTTTAGTCAGACGATCACCAGCCGTGGTGTTTTAGTCAATCACCAGCCGTGGTGTTTTAGTCAGACGATCACCAGCCGTGGTGCAGACGTTAAAAAATGTCCAGGACTTCCGGACACAATGCCGTACACGTCCGTGTGCTGCACGTGTGTCGCACGTGTGACTCACGTGAGCTGCATGTGTGTCGCACGTGTGACTCACGTGAGCTGCACGTGCTCATGTTGTTGTCATCTTTAACGTGAGTCGTGACGTCATTGATTGACACGTGCCAGTGCACGCGCGGAGGCAGATCTGACAATGCCATGTGACGTCTTTCGGTAGCTCATAACTTATGAGCCAACTCAGCTATATTTAGTACCTGACACAAGAAAAGTCAACGGTGCTTTTGTGCATCACATTGTGTTTTAAAACTGTTACCACAGCAACATGCGGACAGTGCACGGAAACCGATATGTACTGCACACATGTGGCGGGAAACCTGATGGTCTAGGGTGCAGGAGAAGTAGAGCTGGACAGTTTCTAATGAAACTGCTCAAACAGAATTGTTTAACCAGCCCTCGGGAGTTATGTGACTTCTGAATTTTTTGTTTCACGATCTAAGCTTGACTGTGTTTTAAACCAAGTGCTTTGAATACACATTTCAATAATATCCTCCTCACACACAATACAACACAACACAACACAACACAACACAACTGCCCTAATGTAGTCTTTCCCGTATCTCTCTACAAAGCTGGTCACCTGAGACAACAAGAATTGGTGAGCTGGTGGATCGCTCGGGAGTTTGTGTTTTTTTGTCATCGCAGGCTATAAATAGAGTTTGTGCAGCAGAATCGAGTACCTGGCATTAAGCTAGACATGATTATCGGTTGGAAAAAGGGACTTGATACATTTTTTCCCAATGCAACAACATCAAACATGAACTTTATTGTTTCTACCACAAATATTTTAGCGATTCTTAAACCGTTACGGCCGGCTTCGGTTTTTACAAATCGTTTGTATCGGTCATGTGACATTTTAAGGTTAGAGTGGAACCCCCCTTCCCCCCCCCCCCCCCCCCCCCCGAAAAAAAAACGTAGTAGTTTAATATACGAAGATACGGGTGATCTACGGGGACATATTAAATATGGACAACTGTATATGTGAATGCATTATGAAATATGAACAATGTATATGTGAATGCATTATGAAATATGAACAATGTATATGTGAATGCATTATGAAATATGAACAAATGTATGTGTGAAAGCATTATGAAATATGAAGAAATGTATGTGTGAATGCATTATGAAATATGAACAAATGTATGTGTGAATGCATTATGAAATATGAAGAAATGTATCTGTGAATGCATTATGAAATATGAACAAATGTATGTGTGAATGCATTATGAAATATGAAGAAATGTATGTGTGAATGCATTATGAAATATGAAGAAATGTATGTGTGAATGCATTATGAAATATGAACAAATGTATGTGTGAATGCATTATGAAATATGAAGAAATGTATGTGTGAATGCATCATGAAATATGAACAAATGTATGTGTGAATGCATTATGAAATATGAACAAATGTATGTGTGAATGCATTATAAAATATAAACAAATGTATGTGTGAATGCATTATGAAATATGAATAAATGCATTATGAAATATGAACAAATGTATGCGTGAATGCATTATGAAATATGAACAAATATATGTGTGAATGTATTTTGAAATATGGACAAATGTATGTGTGAATGCATTATGAAATATGAACAAATATATGTGTGAATGCATTATGAAATATGAATAAATGCATTATGAAATATGAACAAATGTATGTGTGAATGCATTATGAAATATGAAGAAATGCATTATGAAATATGAACAAATGTATGTGTGAATGCATTATGAAATATGAATAAATGTGTTTGTGGTTACAAATGAAATAAAATCCAACGCAAGTATGAAGAGAAATGAGTTGATGGAAACATTTGAATTGTGTGAGCTAAAGCCCCAACACTTACCCCCATTTTGTATGAATTGTGTGAGCTAAAGTCCCAACACTTACCCCCATTTTGTATGAATTGTGTGAGCTAAAGATCCAACACTTACCCCCATTTTGTATGAATTGTGTGAGCTAAAGTCCCAACACTTACCCCCATTTTGTATGAATTGTGTGAGCTAAAGCCCCAACACTTACCCCCATTTTGTATGAATTGTGTGAGCTAAAGCCCCAACACTTACCCCCATTTTGTATGAATTGTGTGAGCTAAAGCCCCAACACTTACCCCCATTTTGTATGAATTGTGTGAGCTAAAGCCCCAACACTTACCCCCATTTTGTATGAATTGTGTGAGCTAAAGCCCCAACACTTACCCCCATTTTGTATCCTAAATGTGAAACAACTTCTCGTCCAATGAAAGATCACCTTCAACTAGCTAGAAATTTTTTGACTCTAGAATCAATCCACGCATAGAATCAAATCTACTGTACACCACAGGATCCAATGTGAAATTAGGACAATTTTTTTTCCATCAGACAAACTTGGCCATCTGATCAGGACAACAACTTGAGGCCACTCTTGGATGAAATCTTTGAGGCCAACCACGGCTACAAGGCGTCGCTGAGAAATGACCTGCGTTGTTCAAACTTTTAAACGGTTTTCTTATCTGGTGGGGAGAGGGGGGAGGGGGGGGGGGGTAACTGAGGGGTCCAGGTTGTGGTTGGGGTCAATGTAAACTAGGGGGTCACGTTTTGGTGGGGGGTAGGTAGAGGTGTAAATTTGTTGGTGTCCAGTTTTATTGTTGGGGGCGGGGGTTGGGAAAAAGTAAAAAAAAATTAGGGGGGGGCGGGGTTGGGGAGGAGGGGAGAGGAGGTGTAAATTAAAGGTTCAAACTGTTTTGTTCGGGGCTAAGAAGAGCAAAGTCGATTTTTTTCACGTTTAGCTTGGTAGTCTAAGGGTCCGATAGTTTTTAGCAGAAATGGTTAGCAGTTTTCTAAAGGATCAGCAGTTTCAGTGTCAGTTTTGTTGTCAGTATTTGTGTTAGTCTATGTGCTAGTGTATGTGTCAGTGTGTGTGTTAGTGTATGTGTTAGTGTATGTGTTTGTGTATTTGTTAGTGTATGTGTTAGTGTATATGTTATTGTATGTGTCAGTGTATGTGTTTGTGTATTTGTCAGTGTGTGTGTCAGCTTCTCACTGACAAAATCATTGTTAGCATGGTTCGACATCCGCATCCACATCCACAAAAAGAAGTTGATGTCTACAATCACTCATCAGGCTACATGTTTAAAATTACTTATTGAAATCTACGATTTTAATTAGACAATGAAATCTATGTATACAGTTTTGTCATTTAAAACTGTGACTACAATTAACCAATTAATCACGTATATAATTAGTAAAAATCTGTTTACGTCGGTTTATTAAACCTGTATATAAATAATAAATTTGATTTATTTTTTTCCCGAAAGCCTTGGACTCTGTCTAACTAGACGCTTGCCATGTCTAATAGCCTGTCGGAGTTGTGTAGTTTGTGTGACGTAGTACACAAGATCTGAACATCGTTAGCTTTACACACGACCGACAATGTACTTCACTGAATCCCAGGTTGGTTCAAGTATGCACCCGACATGACTCTACCAACCGGGGGTGAACTGGCTGTGTCCTAGGGGCCCGGGAATTTGAAAAAGGGGGCCCCAAAGACGGATTTTTAAATAAAATTGTGCATTTTTCGCCATCAAAGGATGATGACCAGCTAGATGGGAATTGACAAGACAAATTATTTTGTTAAAACCAAAGAACAAATAGTAGGTATTCTATGTGAGACTGTTGGAAAACAAACATGCAGTTTTTCTCGCGGTCCTAAATGTTGTAGGTTTTCAGTAATTGGTCTGGTACCGTACCGTTACTGGGGGGCCACCAGGATTGTTTTTACCGTGGGCCCACCGGAATTTTTTTCCGATAGACCGGCGGGCCAATCCACTCCTGCTACCAACGCCCATGACAAGTGGGCTACATTGACATGACAAGACAAGACTGACATGACAAGAAATTTACATCATTTAGCTCGAGCTGATCACAATTTGTGACAAATTCTTATATTGGCTTACACTTTGTAACAAATTATTTTATTGGCCCTTGAGTTTTGTACCCGCGTCATCCCCTCCCATAAAACTGTATATCCTGTGGAACTGACAACCTGATTCAACAACCTGATTTACGATGGATAAGTGTAGCAACCAGTCACCCGGGTTGTCGGGATGGCAGTCAGATGGACTAGTTGACACAGAAATGAACGCCTTATATAAAAGATAATATTTAAAGCTAAATAATTTGAAATAATAAAAACATCCTAATTTAATAAAAACCCTTTAATTAGCGCGCTGTCAAGTGTAGTGATCGATGAGAGTGGGCGTCGCCCCAATTATGGGCGGTATCCTGAGAACTAGTTATGAAAACGGGTCTACGACAAACGCCCAAATGGACACTTGCCCGAATGCGAAAAATGCCCGAATGGACACTCGGTCTAAGTCTTGTTTAGGAGTGGTGATTGCTCTAACTCTGGTGTTGGAGTTGTTGCTGAATTAAGTTTGGGACTATTGACTGAATTTCATTAGAGCATAAACACACCACTTATCAATGCAGTTGACAGTTTAAAAAACACAAGAAATGTACCGATTATTAACTTCACCCCCGCCCCCCCCCCCTCCCCCACAAACCTGGCCTACTAATGAGGTACCCCAGTGACGCAGCAATCTCGTGGTGATCAGGGTATGATAACATCGTAACGACACACGGAACTATGGGATACATTTTCTTAAGACGGGCCAAAAGTTGACTTCTGCTAGGGTTGTTTAAACTCTTATTGACCGCGATAAGAGATGTGTGTGTGTGTGGGGGGGGGGGGGGGTGAGGGGGTGGTGGGGTTGAGATTATCCTAATAACTGGATCTGGTGTGTTTTGGTCATGGAGATTCTCCTCCAGTTTTTTTAACAAGAAATTTTCTAGCTCCACGGTCTGGACTTTTTTATGCCCGGTTACTCCTGTATTAGCCTCAGCCCGTCACCCCATGTTCGCTTACTGTAGAAGGTGTAGTGTGTCTCGTCTTGGTTGCTGTGGGGGTTGGCGTTAGACAACCGTTAGACAACCAGTCAACCAGTGTTTGTCCTCTCGTGTATTGATGTTTTACTTTAGAAAAGGACATTGTGAAAGCCAATGATGGTTGATTTTATTGTCAACCCAAAATTCAGTGGTTGGTGCAGTCAGAGAAGTTATTAAAGCCAACCCTCAACCCACTGGTTGCAACCCGCTGCCCTTAAGTCTGCGTGTATTACCATCCATATCAGGCAGCAGACGACCAACTATAAAATGCCAGTAAATCACCAGACCCATACCCCGACTGCATGTTTCCTTGCATAATTCATCGAACAAAGATCTGGGTCTAGGATCACAAAGATCTGGGTCTAGGATCACAAAGATCAAGGTCATGTGAAGTAGGTTATCTCTGTATTCCGTTACTCTAACGTTTGAAATATTTGTTGGCCCTCCAGCTTTCTACTTGACGCGTTACCGTGGTCTGATATACGACAACATCACTAGTTCTGGGGGTACTGCAGTAATTAGGTGGGGGTACTGCAGTAATTAGGTGGGGGCACTGCAGTAATTAGGTGGGGTACTGCAGTAATTAGGTGGGGGCACTGCAGTAATTAGGTGGGGTACTGCAGTAATTAGGTGCTCTGATATACGACAACATCACTAGTTCTGGGGGTACTGCAGTAATTAGGTGGGGGTACTGCAGTAATTAGGTGGGGGTACTGCAGTAATTAGGTGGTCTAGAGGTGGTACCTCCCTTGTGGTGTTGTCGGGCTTTATAGAGGCGGTGATGTGGTCAGTAGGAAGAGGAGGTTGTCTCGGTAGGACATTTTTTAAAGGACATTTTACAAAACTGTCCAGAGAATTTGTTACTGGATAAACCAACGTTTGTAGCCTGACAATTTGTAAGATAAGACTGACAATTTGTAAGCCTGACAATGAAGCGTTGGTGTCTTGTATGCCGCAAGCAGGACCTGACGCACGGTGTCTTGTATGCCGCAAGCAGGACCTGACGCACGGTGTCTTGTATGCCGCAAGCAGGACCTGACCAACCCCTGACCTGACTGTGACCACGTGACCGTGACAAGGGTGACTACTCTAACATCTGGAACCAATGGATTGGTTCTCACCTCGGTCACGCGTGTCCATCACGTGACACGGCCAGTTAGGCCGGGAAGGGGCGGGGCTCAATCAGCTGGAGGTCACGTGATTGGTTTGTTTAACCCACACATGTATGGATAATTTGTCTGCACGATCGAGCTATTAAACAGTTTTCATCTGGGGGTTTTTCCCTGAGGTATAAAATGGCATCAACAATTCCAATCGACCCAGTAAATAAGGGCTTAAGGTAAAGCCTGAAAGGGCCCTTTTCGTTGGGCGCTCAGTTCGGATATCAGGGTCTCTGTACGGCTACTGGCAAAATGATTTGTCTTCAGAGTTTGAGACAGTAAGGCTCTTGCCAGTAGAGGTCCCAGTCGATGGGGATTCTGATAAAAGCTTCGTCATAGGACACAACAACAGGTCACCCAGTCTAGTGACGTCACTGGAATGTCACCCAGTCTAGTGACGTCACCCAGTCTAGTGACGTCACTGGAATGTCACCCAGTCTAGTTACGTCACCCAGTCTAGTGACGTCACTGGAATGTTACCCTGTCGTGTGACGTCACGCGACCCGCCATACCCGAGTGTTCACACTGTCATACATAAGTCTGAGGAACCATTTTGTCGGGAGCCAATATGTGAAAAACGTTTTAGTTGAGATTACTACCACGATCGTTGCGACCTGGACCCATTACATAAATAAGGTTAATGAAGGAAAGGGTCAATTAGTTCAATGAGAGAAAGACATGAAACAAATTAAGCAGAGTAAACATTTTTCTCTAGAACCCCGACATGATTCAATGTTGGAAGACATGTGGTTGTTATCACGTGCATCTTTACTCATCTGATCCACACCCCACTCACACAACCAAGTCAAAACAAATCCCATTCAACAAGTTTTCCTTATTTATTTATAACATGAGATATAAAAAACCAAAAGTTGTATACAACAAAGCATATGTACAACAATATGCAACAACCAGTAGGTGATAAATAATATCCAAAAATACAATTCAATTGGAAGTAAAAAAAAAACATGAACATAAAAAAATGTGATTTGCTTGATATCATGTGGCAATTATAGGCGGATAGTAAAAAACCGGACATTAAACAAAAATATTAACTGTCCACACATGTTGCTAAATATAACTCACAACAAGGGCAGATGACTGTGGTGGTGGGCAGACAAATGTCCCCCACAAGGGCAAGTGACTGGTGGGCAGACAAATGTCCCTCTACTTTAGCAGGGGAAATACCTCTGAGCGTATCTTCCCCAGCAGGGTAACTCTTGCTTGAATGTACCATCTCAACAAATAAAATTCGATCAGCTGACGTATAATTTAGCCACCACAACAACAGCGCCACAGTTCAACAATGTAACAGCCGTAAGTATTTTGTTTGGTGAAACCCAAAGTTACAGGCCAGAGTGTAACTACAACACACCCTGTTACATCAAGTTATACACCCCAACACCCCAGGCTTACGGTAGCTGGTACACCTCTTACAGCTACTGTACACCTTTTGGTAGCTATAACTTAAGACACCAAGGATAGCTACCCAACTAAGAGCTATAATAATCCATTATATCCATCTTTAACTTAATTAAAATACATTGATCTACCTAATCCAGTATTAGCTGCTATATAAAACCAATCAGCATCAAGTATAAATGTGTAGACTAAAAGAATGGGATAGAGTAGAACTATTACATTGATATATTTTATAGAACACAACCTTAGCCCCAATGCTCTAGAAAATAAATTTAAAAAAAAATACAAACATTTTATTTTAATAACCACAACTTCAAAAAAATGCTATAAATAGAGGCATTAAGTAGGTCACATCCAAGTAATATCAGGGTATTTTAAAATGTAGTGATATGTCTGGTGTATGTCAATGACGTCTGGTGTATGTCAAATGACATGTCTGGTCTATGTCAATGTCAACTAGACACAACCTAGCCTAGACATGTACACAACCTAACAAAATGTTTCTCAAGTTTTTTTTTTTTTTTCCTTACAAATATCTGGGTGTTTAGTGTAGGCTTCAACATCCCACATCACAAGATAGTAAGGTTTTTGACAGGTTTAGACCAGAGTTGTGTTAAGATAGGACTGAAGGTGATATGCTGTGGTGTGAGGAGTCCACACCCAACGAATCAAATGTGTGTGAGCAACAGCTGATGTTAGATCACATAAATGAGGGAACGAATGGAAACAAAGGGAACTAACTGTGTTAGATATGACATGGGGGGGGGGTGAAATGAAAAAATCCACAATGTGTTCTGTACATTGAGCAGCCAGAAAATGTGAAGATAAAAATGTGAAATGTGTTTGTGGTTTGTTGTTGAAGTCTTGAGGTCAAACAGTCGAGGGCTTGGATCACCTGGTAAATCTCTGCAGGTCAGCCAACAGAAGGGAATAAATAATTGAAATATCACATGATCCTGGTCAATGTTTGAGGGGTTGCCATGGTAACCTAGTGGTGAGGCATCTTCTCATTCTGGATCTGGAAATAACACGCCTGTGGAGGGCAGAGATTACGTCAGTGTGTGACATGACATGGTCAGTGTGTGACATGGTCAGTGTGTGACATGGTCAGTGTGTGACATGGTCAGTGTGTGACATGACATGGTCAGTGTATGACATGACATGGTCAGTGTGTGACATGACATGGTCAGTGTGTGACATGACATGGTCAGTGTGTGACATGACATGGTCAGTGTGTGACATGACATGGTTAATGTCTGACTTTAAAAAGTTTCACCTTAAAAAACTCCAAATTTAGTAAAATGAAAAACATTCTTGTAATAGTCATGACCCATCCCATCCCAACCAGATACATCTTATGTGTTATGATCCCCCACTCTCCAATCATATTTGGACTGTAGTAGCCCCCATCCCATCAATCCAACTTCAGTATTGTCCTACCCCAGACCTTGTGTGCTGTGATATCCCCCCCTTATCTTGAGTGCTCTGACACCCCCCCCCCCCCACATTGAGTGCCCTAATCCCCCCCTACCTAGAGTGCCCTGACCCCCCTACCCTGTGTGCTCTAACCCCCACCCCCCTACCTTGAGTGCTCTAACCCCCACCCCCCTCCCCTGAGTGCTCTAACCCCCCTACCTTGAGTGTTATGACCCCCCCCCCACCTTGTGTGTTATGACCCCCCCCCCTACCCTGTGTGCTCTAGCCCCCCCCCCTACCCTGTGTGCTCTAGCCCCCCCCCCCCTACCTTGAGTGCTCTAAACCCCCCCCCCCCCTACCTTGAGTGTAGTAAACATGAGCCCAAACTCCCCATGCTCCATGTGGGGCTCCATCAGATCCTCTATGACCCTGTGTGCTCTAACCCCCACCCCCCTACCTTGAGTGCCCTGACCCCCTACCATGTGTGCTCTAACCCCCCCCCCCCTACCTTGAGTGTAGTAAACATGAGACCAAACTCCCCATGCTCCATGTGGGGCTCCATCAGATCCTCTATAACATGGATCTCAGCACCAAGATGGTGGATCTTAGCCCGGACCACAACAAACTGGAAGATGGGGAACAGGTCGTCCATACACCACATGTGGTCATCCTTCAAGGCCAAGGTCACCGTCTGAAAGGTGTTGAACATTTTCATCAGTCATTTGATAAAAGTTTGTTTAATTTTGTGATCTGGTTAAACCCTTACCTTAGTGATCTGGTTAAACCCTTACCTTAGTGATCTGGTTAAACCCTTACCTTAGTGATCTGGTTAAACCCTTACCTTAGTGATCTGGTTAAATGTCTGCTCTATAATCTTCAACTTCTCTATTGGACTGAAGGCTGTGCTGTCAACATAGAAGAAAATATAGGTGGGTCAGAGGTGTGGTAGTCAGGGGTGTGGTGGTCAGAGGTGTGGTGGTAAGAGGTGTGGTGGTCAGAGGTGTGGTGGTCAGGGGTGTGGTGGTCAGAGGTGTGGTGTGGTGGTCAGGGGTGTGGTGGTCAGAGGTGTGGTGTGGTGGTCAGGGGTGTGGTGGTCAGAGGTGTGGTGTGGTGGTCAGGGGTGTGGTGGTCAGAGGTGTGGTGTGGTGGTCAGGGGTGTGGTGGTAAGAGGTGTGGTGGTCAGAGGTGTGGTGGTCAGGGGTGTGGTGGTCAGAGGTGTGGTGTGGTGGTCAGGGGTGTGGTGGTCAGAGGTGTGGTGTGGTGGTCAGGGGTGTGGTGGTCAGAGGTGTGGTGGTCAGAGGAGTGGTGGTCAGGGGTGTGGTGTGTGGGTCAGGGGTGTGGTGGTCAGAGGTGTGGTGGTCAGAGGAGTGGTGGTCAGGGGTGTGGTGTGTGGGTCAGGGGTGTGGTGGTCAGAGGTGTGGTGGTCAGAGGTGTGGTGGTCAGGGGTGTGGTGTGTGGGTCAGGGGTGTGGTGGTCAGAGGTGTGGTGGTCAGAGGTGTGGTGAGTGGGTCAGAGGTGTGGTGGTCAGGGGTGTGGTGGTCAGAGGTGTGGTGGTCAGAGGTGTGGTGGTCAGAGGTGTGGTGGTCAGAGGTGTGGTGAATGGGTCAGAGGTGTGGTGGTCAGAGGTGTGGTGAGTGGGTCAGAGGTGTGGTGGTCAGAGGTGTGGTGGTCAGAGGTGTGGTGAATGGGTCAGAGGTGTGGTGGTCAGAGGTGTGGTGGTCAGAGGTGTGGTGGTCAGAGGTGTGGTGGTCAGAGGTGTGGTGGTCAGAGGTGTGGTGGTCAGAGGTGTGGTGGTCAGAGGTGTGGTGAATGGGTCAGAGGTGTGGTGGTCAGAGGTGTGGTGGTCAGAGGTGTGGTGGTCAGAGGTGTGGTGGTCAGAGGTGTGGTGGTCAGAGGTGTGGTGGTCAGGGGTGTGGTGAGTGGGTCAGAGGTGTGGTGGTCAGAGGTGTGGTGGTCAGAGGTGTGGTGGTCAGAGGTGTGGTGGTCAGAGGTGTGGTGGTCAGAGGTGTGGTGGTCAGGGGTGTGGTGGTCAGAGGTGTGGTGGTCAGAGGTGTGGTGGTCCGGGGTGTGGTGGTCCGGGGTGTGGTGGTCAGGGGTGTGGTGGTCAGAGGTGTGGTGGTCAGAGGTGTGGTGGTCAGAGGTGTGGTGGTCAGAGGTGTGGTGGTCAGAGGTGTGGTGGTCCGGGGTGTGGTGGTCCGGGGTGTGGTGGTCAGGGGTGTGGTGGTCAGAGGTGTGGTGGTCAGAGGTGTGGTGGTCAGAGGTGTGGTGAGTGGGTCAGAGGAGTGGTGGTCAGAGGTGTGGTGGTCAGAGGAGTGGTGGTCAGAGGAGTGGTGGTCAGAGGAGTGGTGGTCAGAGGAGTGGTGGTCAGAGGTGTGGTGGTCAGAGGAGTGGTGGTCAGAGGAGTGGTGGTCAGAGGAGTGGTGGTCAGAGGAATGGTGGTCAGAGGTGTGGTGGTCAGGGGTGTGGTGGTCAGGGGTGTGGTGGTCAGGGGTGTGGTGAGTGGGTCAGAGGAGTGGTGGTCAACCCACAACACAACACGTCTGTGTTAAAGAACTAGTTGAAGCTCTACCTGATACATATCTAAGCCCTGACAGGGGAGGGGGGGGGGGTGTCTAAAACCCTAATGTATCTAAATCTATCCCCAGGCTAATTATCTATTGGGCATCAGTGCAATTGTGGCTAAACCAAAACTGGTTAAACCCTAACCTTAGTCTAAATAAAAAAAAAACAATAGGAAAATCAGCGTAAACATTTTATTTACATAAAAAAGTGGACCCATCCACTATCAAAACAAAACAAACCCTCAAGTTCACTACAAGCAACTAGATCTACAACAAAACTATAAAACAAAAGAAACACCCAGCCAAGTTATGACTGTAACTTCTCCATGCATGTAGTGTATAAAACACCCACTGCCAAACCTATCTACTGAAATCACATCTACATGCTCACTGCTATAGGGTAAACAGCTAAACAGAGGGGTCACTTAAATACTCCTTGACCAGCCAGAAGTACCTGTCTATATTCACCATAACATTCATGCACAGATTAGAACACACACACATATATGAATACACAAACAACTCATTCACTCACTCAGACATAGGCCATGTAAACAACACAATGGAGTGTGAAATAAAACGTGACTAGAACATAGAACATGTAAACATGTGACTAGAACATAGAACATGTAAACATGTGACTAGAACATAGAACATGGACATGCGACTAGAACATAGAACATGGACATGTAAACATCTGATTAGAACATAGAACATAGAACATGTGACTAGAACATAGAACATGGACATGTAAATAAAACTATGTAACACAACAGTTCTCACCTGAGCTGTTGTAGTGTGTCCACCGCCTCAGCATAACAAACATCTTTCACAGTGGACAGTTGCTGCAGAGGGGAGAGAATAGGCAATCAATTCTTTCTGCAGCAGTAACAAGCAAGACAGTAAAACAGTATGACACCTGGAATACTTTCTATGATGTGACTAGTGAGACTTCTATGATGTAACTAGTGAGACTATCACTATGACTAGTAAAACAATCTTACCTGTGTTTTGGTTTCAAGAATTTCCTCCAACAGCCAGAAACGTCTGGAAAAAAATTATGGTAAATTAGAAAAGTTGTATAGAACGAGGTCAGAGGTCACAACAATGTGACTTGAACTCTTGACCTCAATCTAAAACTGCAACAAAAAAAGATGGTTGCTTACACCTGAGTGATGCCATCAGCCACACCCTACCTCCTACAATAATTTACTGCTCAATGCCCAGGTATGTCCCCAACTTACCGCTCAATGCCCAGGTATGTCCCCAACTTACTGCTCAATGCCCAGGTATGTCCCCAACTTACTGCTCAATGCCTAGGTATGTCCCCAACTTACTGCTCAATGCCCAGGTATGTCCCCAACTTACTGCTCAATGCCCAGGTATGCCCCCAACTTACTGCTCAATGCCCAGGTATGCCCCCAACTTACTGCTCAATGCCTAGGTATGTCCCCAACTTACTGCTCAATGCCCAGGTATGTCCCCAACTTACTGCTCAATGCCCAGGTATGTCCCCAACTTACTGCTCAATGCCTAGGTATGTCCCCAACTTACTGCTCAATGCCCAGGTATGTCCCCAACTTACTGCTCAATGCCCAGGTATGTCCCCAACTTACTGCTCAATGCCTAGGTATGCCCCCAACTTACTGCTCAATGCCCAGGTATGTCCCCAACTTACTGCTAAATGCCTAGGTATGTCCACAACTTACTGCTCAATGCCTAGGTATGTCCACAACTTACTGCTCAATGCCCAGATATGCCCCAACTTACTGCTCAATGCCCAGGTATGCCAACAATCAATGCCCAGGTATGCCCCCAACTTACAGCTCAATGCCCAGATATGCCCCCAACTTACTGCTCAATGCCCACATATGCCCCCAACTTACTGCTCAATGCCCCCAACTTACTGCTCAATGCCCAGGTATGCCCCAACTTACTGCTCAATGCCCAGGTATGCCCCCAACTTACTGCTCAATGCCCAGGTATGCCCCAACTTACTGCTCAATGCTAAGGTATGCCCCCAATCAATGCCCAGGTATGCCCCCAACTTACTGCTCAATGCCCAGGTATGCCCCCAACTTACTGCTCAATGCCCAGGTATGCCCCAACTTACTGCTCAATGCTAAGGTATGCCCCCAATCAATGCCCAGGTATGCCCCAACTTACTGCTCAATGCTAAGGTATGCCCCCAATCAATGCCCAGGTATGCCCCCAACTTACTGCTCAATGCCCAGGTAAGCCAACAGTCCCATGTCACTCTGCCTGTTTAACTTGGTCACCCTCTCCCAGTATAGGTCATCGTTCCTCTCATTGTAGAGGGCGTAAAGGTCAAACAGGGGCGGGTAAATCTTGGGCAGCATGATCGGGTACAGGAGCCCTGCGGCAGTGAACACCTGCCTGTGGAGGTCAAGGTCAGAACATTCAAGGCATCAAGGCCAAGTAAGAATAATTTGTAATTTGGATGTCAAAGATGCTTTTTTTTAAAAAACAACAGAAAATAGTTATATATGATTTGTCTAAAAATATTCTAGACATCAACAACAAAATGGTGAAAATATCCATGTCATCAATAATTATTAGTTTAACATATAATGTAAATCAAGATAAGCCAAAACTTTTTTTTAAGAGAAAAATACAATTGTATAAAAAAAACAGAAGTGTACCAACAGAGATATTTTGCCAAAGTCAATATCTACTTTACTAAATGAACCAACCACATGCCCCCCCCCCCCCCCACTCACAAGCTGGGGTCCTCATGCTCCAGCCCCTCCCCCCACTCACAGGCTGGGGTCCTTCTGCTCCAGCCCCCCCCCCCACTCACAAGCTGGGGTCCTCCTGCTCCAGCCCCTCCCCCTCCCCCCCCCCACTCACAAGCTGGGGTCCCTCCTGCTCCAGCCCCTCCCCCCACTCACAAGCTGGGGTCCTCCTGCTCCACCCCCTCCCCCCCCCCACTCACAAGCTGGGGTCCTCCTGCTCCAGCCCCTCCCCCCACTCACAAGCTGGGGTCCTCCTGCTCCAGCCCCTCCCCCCACTCACAAGCTGGGGTCCTCCTGCTCCAGCCCTTCCCCCTTTCCCCCACACCCCCCCCACTCACAGACTGGGGGTCCTCCTGCTCCAGCCCCTCCCCCCCCCCACTCACAGACTGGGGTCCTCCTGCTCCAGCCCCTCCCCCCCACTCACAAGCTGGGGTCCTCCTGCTCCAGCCCCTCCCCCCCCCCACTCACAGACTGGGGTCCTCCTGCTCCAGCCCCTCCCCCCCACTCACAAGCTGGGGTCCTCCTGCTCCAGCCCCTCCCCCCCCCCACTCACAGACTGGGGTCCTCCTGCCCCCCCACTCACAGACTAGGGTCCTCCTGCTCCAGCCCCTCCCCCCACTCACAAGCTGGGGTCCTCCTGCTCCACCCCCTCCCCCCCCCCCACTCACAGACTGGGGTCCTCCTGCTCCACCCCCTCCCCCCCCCCCCACTCACAAGCTGGGGTCCTCCTGCTCCACCCCCTCCCCCCCCCCCCCCACTCACAGACTGGGGTCCTCCTGCTCCACCCCCTCCCCCCCCCCCACTCACAGACTGGGGTCCTCCTGCTCCACCCCCCTCCCCCCCCCACTCACAAGCTGGGGTCCTCCTGCTCCAGCCCCTCCCCCCACTCACAAGCTGGGGTCCTCCTGCTCCAGCCCCCCCCCCCCCCACTCACAAGCTGGGGTCCTCCTGCTCCAGCCCCTCCCCCCACTCACAAGCTGGGGTCCTCCTGCTCCAGCCCCTCCCCCCACTCACAGACTAGGGTCCTCCTGCTCCAGCCCCTCCCCCCCACCTCACAAGCTGGGGTCCTCCTGCTCCAGCCCCTCCAGCCCCCCCCCCCCACTCACAAGCTGGGGTCCTCCTGCTCCAGCCCCTCCCCCTCCCCCCCCCCACTCACAAGCTGGGGTCCTCCTGCTCCAGCCCCCCCCCACTCACAGACTGGGGTCCTCCTGCTCCAGCCCCTCCCCCCACTCACAAGCTGGGGTCCTCCTGCTCCAGCCCCTCCCCCCCCCCCCCCCCACAGACTGGGGTCCTCCTGCTCCAGCCCCTCCCCCCACTCACAAGCTGGGGTCCTCCTGCTCCAGCCCCTCCCCCCCCCACTCACAAGCTGGGGTCCTCCTGCTCCAGCCCCTCCCCCCCCCCCCACTCACAAGCTGGGGTCCTCCTGCTCCAGCCCCTCCCCCCCCCCCCCACAGACTGGGGTCCTCCTGCTCCAGCCCCTCCCCCCACTCACAAGCTGGGGTCCTTCTGCTCCAGCCCCTCCCCCCACTCACAAGCTGGGGTCCTCCTGCTCCAGCCCCTCCCCCCCCCACTCACAAGCTGGGGTCCTCCTGCTCCAGCCCCTCCCCCCCCCCCCCCCACAGACTGGGGTCCTCCTGCTCCAGCCCCTCCCCCCACTCACAAGCTGGGGTCCACCTGCTCCAGCCCCTCACCCCCCCCCCCCCACTCACAGACTAGGGTCCTCCTGCTCCAGCCCCCTCCCCCCCCTCAACAAGCTGGGGTCCACCTGCTCCAGCCCCTCACCCCCCCCCACTCACAGACTAGGGTCCTCCTGCCCCCCCCCCCCCACTCACAGACTAGGGTCCTCCTGCTCCAGCCCCTCTATAAACTCTCTGGCCTCCTCCGTTTGTCCTGGGGATGTGATCTCTCCTGTCCCTGGGGTAGACATGGATGGGGCCACCATTGGCGGGCAGGGCAGGGAACAGAATCCTGGGGGGAGATGATAAACAATGGGGAGATGATGTCAACACAATGGGGAGATGATGTCAACACAATGGGGAGATCATGTCAACACAATGGGGAGATGATGCAACACAATGGGGAGATGATGTCAACACAATGGGGAGGTCATGTCAACACAATGGGGAGATGTTGTCAACACAATGGGGAGATGATGTCAACACAATGGGGAGATCATGTCAACATAATGGGGAGATCATGTCAACACAATGGGGAGATGATGTCAACACAATGGGGAGGTCATGTCAACACAATGGGGAGATGATGTCAACACAATGGGGAGATGATGTCAACACAATGGGGAGATGATGTCAACACAATGGGGAGGTCATGTCAACACAATGGGGAGATGATGTCAACACAATGGGGAGATGATGTCAACACAATGGGGAGATCATGTCAACACAATGGGGAGATGATGTCAACACAATGGGGAGATGATGTCAACACAACGGGGAGATGATGTCAACACAATGGGGAGATGATGTCAACACAATGGGGAGGTCATGTCAACACAATGGGGAGATGATGTCAACACAATGGGGAGATGATGTCAACACAATGGGGAGATCATGTCAACACAATGGGGAGATGATGTCAACACAATGGGGAGATGATGTCAACACAATGGGGAGATGATGTCAACACAGAGTGAAATAAAACATATCACTAGTTGAATGGATGAACTCAACACATGCACATGTTGACACAGGCTGCTATATAGCAACAGACAGGGAATAATTGGGTCAGGTTGTATGAGAGGACACTGTCAAGTTGTGGGGGTGTTCTGTACACACTAGTACACACAGTTTCTGTAATGGGAGACACACTGTAGACCTCCTTAATTCTGTACCTGACAACCCTGTGTGTACCTGACAACCCTGTGTGTACCTGACAACCCTGTGTGTACCTGACAACCCTGTGTGTACCTGACAACCCTGTGTACCTGACAACCCTGTGTGTACCTGACAACCCTGTGTGTACCTGACAACCCTGTGTGTACCTGACAACCCTGTGTGTACCTGACAACCCTGTGTGTACCTGACAACCCTGTGTGTACCTGACAACCCTGTGTGTACCTGACAACCTTGTGTGTACCTGACAACCCTGTACAGCCTGCGGATGTATGACAGCACCTCCAGGACAGCGTGGTGCAGCAGACGCGGGTGAGCACCCACTCCGATGTACGAGGCCCTGAAGACATCCACCAGCGTCTCCATCAGTTTCCCCAGCGGATGGTAGATGGTATCAAACGCCTGGAAGGGATGGTACAGCCATCAGCTACATCTGACCCACACAAACTGTCACATGACCCACATAAACTGTCACATGACCCACATAAACTGTCACATGACCCACATAAACTGTCACATGACCCACACAAACTGTCACATGACCCACACAAACTGTCACATGACCCACACAAACTGTCATGTGACCCACACAAACTGTCACATGACCCACATAAACTGTCACATGACCCACACAAACTGTCATGTGACCCACACAAACTGTCATGTGACCCACACAAACTGTCATGTGACCCACACAAACTGTCATGTGACCCACACATGTGACCTACCCTACACAAGTAAACAGAGATGTCTGTGGTCATGTGACCTACCCTACACAAGTAAACAGAGATGTCTGTGGTCATGTGACCTACCCTACACAAGTAAACAGAGATGTCTGTGATTGTCTCTGTAGTCAGCTGCTCTGTACCATGGAGAGGAATCTTCTCCAAACCTTCCAGAGTTTTCTCTTCCATCTTCAGCTTGCTGGGGGAGCTGAGGGAAGGGGGAGACAATGTGCATTCAGGTAAACAAATGACTGGCGTGGGGGAAACACAAGCAAAGTATTGGGAAAAAAAGATTTGTTTAATAATCACTTACATGCCCTATAAAACTGACACCTGACATGCCCTATAAAACTGACAACTGATGCCCTATAAAACTGACCACTTACATGTCCTATAAAACTGACCATTGACGCCCTATAAAACTGACCACTTACATGCCCTATAAAACTGACCACTTACATGCCCTCTAAAACTGACCACTGACGCCCTATAAAACTGACCACTTACATGCCCTATAAAACTGACCACTTACATGCCCTATAAAACTGACCACTGACGCCCTATAAAACTGACCACTGACGCCCTATAAAACTGACCACTTACATGCCCTATAAAACTGACCACTGACGCCCTATAAAACTGACCACTTACATGCCCTATAAAACTGACCACTGACACCCTATAAAACTGACCACTTACATGCCCTATAAAACTTACCACTTACATGCCCTATAAAACTGACCACTTACATGCCCTATAAAACTGACCACTTACATGCCCTATAAAACTGACCACTGACACCCTATAAAACTGACCACTTACATGCCCTATAAAACTGACCACTGACGCTCTATAAAACTGACCACTTACATGCCCTATAAAACTGACCACTGACGCCCTGTAAAACTGACCACTTACATGCCCTATAAAACTGACCACTTACATGCCCTATAAAACTGACCACTTACATGCCCTATAAAACTGACTACTTACATGCCCTATAAAACTGACCACTGACGCCCTATAAAACTGACCACTTACATGCCCTATAAAACTGACCACTTACATGCCCTATAAAACTGACCACTTACATGCCCTATAAAACTGACCACTGACGCCCTATAAAACTGACCACTGACACCCTATAAAACTGACCACTTACATGCCCTATAAAACTGACCACTGACGCCCTATAAAACTGATCACTTACATGCCCTATAAAACTGACCACTGACGCCCTATAAAACTGACCACTGACGCCCTATAAAACTGACCACTGACGCCCTATAAAACTGACCACTGACGCCCTATAAAACTGACCACTTACATGCCCTATTAAACTGACCACTGACGCCCTATAAAACTGACCACTTACATGCCCTATTAAACTGACCACTGACGCCCTATAAAACTGACCACTTACATGCCCTATAAAACTGACCACTTACATGCCCTATAAAACTGACCACTGACGCCCTATAAAACTGACCACTTACATGCCCTATTAAACTGACCACTTACATGCCCTATAAAACTGACCACTGACGCCCTAAAAAACTGACCACTTACATGCCCTATTAAACTGACCACTTACATGCCCTATAAAACTGACCACTGACGCCCTATAAAACTGATCACTTACATGCCCTATAAAACTGACCACTGACGCCCTATAAAACTGACCACTGACGCCCTATAGAACTGACCACTTACATGCCCTATAAAACTGACCACTTACATGCCCTATAAAACTGACCACTTACATGCCCTATAAAACTGACCACTTACATGCCCTATAAAACTGACCACTGACGCCCTAAAAAACTGACCACTTACATGCCCTATTAAACTGACCACTTACATGCCCTATAAAACTGACCACTGACGCCCTATAAAACTGACCACTTACATGCCCTATAAAACTGACCACTGACGCCCTATAAAACTGACCACTGACGCCCTATAGAACTGACCACTTACATGCCCTATAAAACTGACCACTTACATGCCCTATAAAACTGACCACTTACATGCCCTATAAAACTGACCACTTACATGCCCTATAAAACTGACCACTTACATGCCCTATAAAACTGACCACTTACATGCCCTATAAAACTGACCACTGACGCCCTATAAAACTGACCACTGACGCCCTATAAAACTGACCACTGACGCCCTATAGAACTGACCACTTACATGCCCTATAAAACTGACCACTTACATGCCCTATTAAACTGACCACTTACATGCCCTATAAAACTGACCACTGACATGCCCTATAAAACTGACCAATGACGCCCTATAAAATGACCACTGACATGCCCTATAAAACTGACCACTGACATGCCCTATAAAACTGACCAATGACGCCCTATAAAAATGACCAATGACGCCCTATAAAACTGACCACTGACATGCCCTATAAAACCGACCACTTACATGCTCTATAAAACTGACCAATGATGCCCTATAAAACTGACCTATGACGCCCTATAAAATGACCACTGACATGCCCTATAAAACTGACCACTGACATGCCCTATAAAACTGACCAATGACGCCCTATAAAAATGACCAATGACGCCCTATAAAACTGACCACTGACATGCCCTATAAAACTGACCACTTACATGCCCTATAAAACTGACCAATGACGCCCTATAAAACTGACCACTGACGCCCTATAAAACTGACCACTTACATGCCCTATAAAACTGACCACTGACGCCCTATAAAACTGACCACTTACATGCCCTATAAAACTGACCACTGACGCCCTATAAAACTGACCACTTACATGCCCTATAAAACTGACCACTGACGCCCTATAAAACTGACCACTTACATGCCCTATAAAACTGACCACTGACGCCCTATAAAACTGACCACTTACATGCCCTATAAAACTGACCACTGACGCCCTATAAAACTGACCACTTACATGCCCTATAAAACTGACCACTGACGCCCTATAAAACTGACCACTTACATGCCCTATAAAACTGACCACTGACACCCTATAAAACTGACCACTGACGCCCTATAAAACTGACCACTTACATGCCCTATAAAACTGACCACTGACGCCCTATAAAACTGACCACTTACATGCCCTATAAAACTGACCACTGACGCCCTATAAAACTGACCACTGACGCCCTATAAAACTGACCACTTACATGCCCTATTAAACTGACCACTGACGCCCTATAAAACTGACCACTTACATGCCCTATTAAACTGACCACTGACGCCCTATAAAACTGACCACTTACATGCCCTATAAAACTGACCACTTACATGCCCTATAAAACTGACCACTGACGCCCTATAAAACTGACCACTTACATGCCCTATAAAACTGACCACTGACACCCTATAAAACTGACCACTGACGCCCTATAAAACTGACCACTTACATGCCCTATAAAACTGACCACTGACGCCCTATAAAACTGACCACTTACATGCCCTATAAAACTGACCACTTACATGCCCTATAAAACTGACCACTGACACCCTATAAAACTGACCACTTACATGCCCTATAAAACTGACCACTGACGCCCTATAAAACTGATCACTTACATGCCCTATAAAACTGACCACTGACGCCCTATAAAACTGACCACTGACGCCCTATAAAACTGACCACTTACATGTCCTATAAAACTGACCATTGACGCCCTATAAAACTGACCACTTACATGCCCTATAAAACTGACCACTTACATGCCCTCTAAAACTGACCACTGACGCCCTATAAAACTGACCACTTACATGCCCTATAAAACTGACCACTTACATGCCCTATAAAACTGACCACTGACGCCCTATAAAACTGACCACTGACGCCCTATAAAACTGACCACTTACATGCCCTATAAAACTGACCACTGACGCCCTATAAAACTGACCACTTACATGCCCTATAAAACTGACCACTGACACCCTATAAAACTGACCACTTACATGCCCTATAAAACTGACCACTTACATGCCCTATAAAACTGACCACTTACATGCCCTATAAAACTGACCACTTACATGCCCTATAAAACTGACCACTGACACCCTATAAAACTGACCACTTACATGCCCTATAAAACTGACCACTGACGCTCTATAAAACTGACCACTTACATGCCCTATAAAACTGACCACTGACGCCCTGTAAAACTGACCACTTACATGCCCTATAAAACTGACCACTTACATGCCCTATAAAACTGACCACTTACATGCCCTATAAAACTGACTACTTACATGCCCTATAAAACTGACCACTGACGCCCTATAAAACTGACCACTTACATGCCCTATAAAACTGACCACTTACATGCCCTATAAAACTGACCACTTACATGCCCTATAAAACTGACCACTGACGCCCTATAAAACTGACCACTGACACCCTATAAAACTGACCACTTACATGCCCTATAAAACTGACCACTGACGCCCTATAAAACTGATCACTTACATGCCCTATAAAACTGACCACTGACGCCCTATAAAACTGACCACTGACGCCCTATAAAACTGACCACTGACGCCCTATAAAACTGACCACTGACGCCCTATAAAACTGACCACTTACATGCCCTATTAAACTGACCACTGACGCCCTATAAAACTGACCACTTACATGCCCTATTAAACTGACCACTGACGCCCTATAAAACTGACCACTTACATGCCCTATAAAACTGACCACTTACATGCCCTATAAAACTGACCACTGACGCCCTATAAAACTGACCACTTACATGCCCTATTAAACTGACCACTTACATGCCCTATAAAACTGACCACTGACGCCCTAAAAAACTGACCACTTACATGCCCTATTAAACTGACCACTTACATGCCCTATAAAACTGACCACTGACGCCCTATAAAACTGATCACTTACATGCCCTATAAAACTGACCACTGACGCCCTATAAAACTGACCACTGACGCCCTATAGAACTGACCACTTACATGCCCTATAAAACTGACCACTTACATGCCCTATAAAACTGACCACTTACATGCCCTATAAAACTGACCACTTACATGCCCTATAAAACTGACCACTGACGCCCTAAAAAACTGACCACTTACATGCCCTATTAAACTGACCACTTACATGCCCTATAAAACTGACCACTGACGCCCTATAAAACTGACCACTTACATGCCCTATAAAACTGACCACTGACGCCCTATAAAACTGACCACTGACGCCCTATAGAACTGACCACTTACATGCCCTATAAAACTGACCACTTACATGCCCTATAAAACTGACCACTTACATGCCCTATAAAACTGACCACTTACATGCCCTATAAAACTGACCACTTACATGCCCTATAAAACTGACCACTTACATGCCCTATAAAACTGACCACTGACGCCCTATAAAACTGACCACTGACGCCCTATAAAACTGACCACTGACGCCCTATAGAACTGACCACTTACATGCCCTATAAAACTGACCACTTACATGCCCTATTATACTGACCACTTACATGCCCTATAAAACTGACCACTGACATGCCCTATAAAACTGACCAATGACGCCCTATAAAATGACCACTGACATGCCCTATAAAACTGACCACTGACATGCCCTATAAAACTGACCAATGACGCCCTATAAAAATGACCAATGACGCCCTATAAAACTGACCACTGACATGCCCTATAAAACTGACCACTTACATGCTCTATAAAACTGACCAATGATGCCCTATAAAACTGACCTATGACGCCCTATAAAATGACCACTGACATGCCCTATAAAACTGACCACTGACATGCCCTATAAAACTGACCAATGACGCCCTATAAAAATGACCAATGACGCCCTATAAAACTGACCACTGACATGCCCTATAAAACTGACCACTTACATGCCCTATAAAACTGACCAATGACGCCCTATAAAACTGACCACTGACGCCCTATAAAACTGACCACTTACATGCCCTATAAAACTGACCACTGACGCCCTATAAAACTGACCACTTACATGCCCTATAAAACTGACCACTGACGCCCTATAAAACTGACCACTTACATGCCCTATAAAACTGACCACTGACGCCCTATAAAACTGACCACTTACATGCCCTATAAAACTGACCACTGACGCCCTATAAAACTGACCACTTACATGCCCTATAAAACTGACCACTGACGCCCTATAAAACTGACCACTTACATGCCCTATAAAACTGACCACTGACGCCCTATAAAACTGACCACTTACATGCCCTATAAAACTGACCACTGACACCCTATAAAACTGACCACTGACGCCCTATAAAACTGACCACTTACATGCCCTATAAAACTGACCACTGACGCCCTATAAAACTGACCACTTACATGCCCTATAAAACTGACCACTGACGCCCTATAAAACTGACCACTGACGCCCTATAAAACTGACCACTTACATGCCCTATTAAACTGACCACTGACGCCCTATAAAACTGACCACTTACATGCCCTATTAAACTGACCACTGACGCCCTATAAAACTGACCACTTACATGCCCTATAAAACTGACCACTTACATGCCCTATAAAACTGACCACTGACGCCCTATAAAACTGACCACTTACATGCCCTATAAAACTGACCACTGACACCCTATAAAACTGACCACTGACGCCCTATAAAACTGACCACTTACATGCCCTATAAAACTGACCACTGACGCCCTATAAAACTGACCACTTACATGCCCTATAAAACTGACCACTTACATGCCCTATAAAACTGACCACTGACACCCTATAAAACTGACCACTTACATGCCCTATAAAACTGACCACTGACGCCCTATAAAACTGATCACTTACATGCCCTATAAAACTGACCACTGACGCCCTATAAAACTGACCACTGACGCCCTATAAAACTGACCACTGACGCCCTATAAAACTGACCACTGACGCCCTATAAAACTGACCACTTACATGCCCTATTAAACTGACCACTGACGCCCTATAAAACTGACCACTTACATGCCCTATTAAACTGACCACTGACGCCCTATAAAACTGACCACTTACATGCCCTATTAAACTGACCACTTACATGCCCTATAAAACTGACCACTGACGCCCTATAAAACTGACCACTTACATGCCCTATTAAACTGACCACTTACATGCCCTATAAAACTGACCACTGACGCCCTAAAAAACTGATCACTTACATGCCCTATTAAACTGACCACTTACATGCCCTATAAAACTGACCACTGACGCCCTATAAAACTGACCACTTACATGCCCTATAAAACTGACCACTGACGCCCTATAAAACTGACCACTGACGCCCTATAGAACTGACCACTTACATGCCCTATAAAACTGACCACTTACATGCCCTATAAAACTGACCACTTACATGCCCTATAAAACTGACCACTTACATGCCCTATAAAACTGACCACTGACGCCCTAAAAAACTGACCACTTACATGCCCTATTAAACTGACCACTTACATGCCCTATAAAACTGACCACTGACGCCCTATAAAACTGACCACTTACATGCCCTATAAAACTGACCACTGACGCCCTATAAAACTGACCACTGACGCCCTATAGAACTGACCACTTACATGCCCTATAAAACTGACCACTTACATGCCCTATAAAACTGACCACTTACATGCCCTATAAAACTGACCACTTACATGCCCTATAAAACTGACCACTTACATGCCCTATAAAACTGACCACTGACATGCCCTATAAAACTGACCACTGACATGCCCTATAAAACTGACCAATGACGCCCTATAAAAATGACCAATGACGCCCTATAAAACTGACCACTGACATGCCCTATAAAACTGACCACTTACATGCTCTATAAAACTGACCAATGATGCCCTATAAAACTGACCAATGACGCCCTATAAAATGACCACTGACATGCCCTATAAAACTGACCACTGACATGCCCTATAAAACTGACCAATGACGCCCTATAAAAATGACCAATGACGCCCTATAAAACTGACCACTGACATGCCCTATAAAACTGACCACTTACATGCCCTATAAAACTGACCAATGACGCCCTATAAAACTGACCACTGACGCCCTATAAAACTGACCACTTACATGCCCTATAAAACTGACCACTGACGCCCTATAAAACTGACCACTTACATGCCCTATAAAACTGACCACTGACGCCCTATAAAACTGACCACTTACATGCCCTATAAAACTGACCACTGACGCCCTATAAAACTGACCACTTACATGCCCTATAAAACTGACCACTGACGCCCTATAAAACTGACCACTTACATGCCCTATAAAACTGACCACTGACGCCCTATAAAACTGACCACTTACATGCCCTATAAAACTGACCACTGACGCCCTATAAAACTGACCACTTACATGCCCTATAAAACTGACCACTGACACCCTATAAAACTGACCACTGACGCCCTATAAAACTGACCACTTACATGCCCTATAAAACTGACCACTGACGCCCTATAAAACTGACCACTTACATGCCCTATAAAACTGACCACTGACGCCCTATAAAACTGACCACTGACGCCCTATAAAACTGACCACTTACATGCCCTATTAAACTGACCACTGACGCCCTATAAAACTGACCACTTACATGCCCTATTAAACTGACCACTGACGCCCTATAAAACTGACCACTTACATGCCCTATAAAACTGACCACTTACATGCCCTATAAAACTGACCACTGACGCCCTATAAAACTGACCACTTACATGCCCTATAAAACTGACCACTGACACCCTATAAAACTGACCACTGACGCCCTATAAAACTGACCACTTACATGCCCTATAAAACTGACCACTGACGCCCTATAAAACTGACCACTTACATGCCCTATAAAACTGACCACTTACATGCCCTATAAAACTGACCACTGACGCCCTATAAAACTGACCACTTACATGCCCTATAAAACTGACCACTGACGCCCTATAAAACTGACCACTTACATGCCCTATAAAACTGACCACTTACATGCCCTATAAAACTGACCACTTACATGCCCTATAAAACTGACCACTGACACCCTATAAAACTGACCACTTACATGCCCTATAAAACTGACCACTTACATGCCCTATAAAACTGACCACTTACATGCCCTATAAAACTGACCACTGACACCCTATAAAACTGACCACTTACATGCCCTATAAAACTGACCACTTACATGCCCTATAAAACTGACCACTTACATGCCCTATAAAACTGACCACTTACATGCCCTATAAAACTGACCACTTACATGCCCTATAAAACTGACCACTGACGCCCTATAAAACTGACCACTTACATGCCCTATAAAACTGACCACTTACATGCCCTATAAAACTGACCACTGACGCCCTATAAAACTGACCACTGACACCCTATAAAACTGACCACTTACATGCCCTATAAAACTGACCACTTACATGCCCTATAAAACTGACCACTGACACCCTATAAAACTGACCACTTACATGCCCTATAAAACTGACCACTTACATGCCCTATAAAACTGACCACTTACATGCCCTATAAAACTGACCACTTACATGCCCTATAAAACTGACCACTGACACCCTATAAAACTGACCACTTACATGCCCTATAAAACTGACCACTTACATGCCCTATAAAACTGACCACTTACATGCCCTATAAAACTGACCACTTACATGCCCTATAAAACTGACCACTTACATGCCCTATAAAACTGACCACTTACATGCCCTATAAAACTGATCACTTACATGCCCTATAAAACTGACCACTTACATGCCCTATAAAACTGACCACTTACATGCCCTATAAAACTGACCACTTACATGCCCTATAAAACTGACCACTTACATGCCCTTGATGTCTTTTAAAATTTTTCTGCCAGCAGAGACCATGACGGCCACGACCTCCCACGCCCTCTCTGTGTCAGCCTGGGTCAAGGTCTGGGCAGAGTGACCTTGACCTAGAGAGGACTCTGTGTGAGAGAAAATATCTTTCCACTTGACGTCAGCGGGGACACACAGGCGGCCGAAGTACCTGGCAACAAAAACATGGATGACAAACTTGGTGACAAAAACAGATGACAAACCTGGCGACAAAAACAGATGACAAACCTGGTGACAAAAACAGATGACAAACTTGGTGCGGTAGACATAAACATTTATATTAAGTGTCAGAAGACATAGCACATTTCAACAGTCACATTAAAATTCTACCTTCTGTTGCAAAAGATTTTACTTATTATAGTGAATTATAGTCCAAGTAAATAGACAACTAAATTTGAGACCACCAAGCCCTTATATATTTGTAGTGCTGAAGATCATCTGTTCCTCATGCTAGCACAGTACCCAGAAGCCTTCACAACCTCTCCCTTCTCATGTTCATTATATCTGAATATATTTGTTTAAATTATATTTTAAAATAACAAGGCTATCTTTATAAAGCTGATACCAGTAACACTCTGTTGATTTTCCTGAACTTCATTCAGGTACTGATTAAAGCTGAGTAAACTCAGGGAACAATTTGATCAGACTAATGACACGACTGTCACGGCATGTATTTAAGGTTTAAACACACCTGTGGTTGCGGGTTCATGAAAATATGAACCAGAACTCTAGTTTGCATAACTTAATAACTTGATTTACATGGGAAGAATATGGATGAACAGTGTATTGCCTTCACATACACAATGAAATAAAGTATGGCAGAACAAGCTGCGGTCAAGCGTTAAAGCTAATAGATGAGAGAATTCATCTGAGCACACATTTCTCAGACATAGTCACATCTTGCATGAATTTCTGTGGTAGCTGTGGGGTGGCTCCTGAACATCACAACACGGGTTATATAGCTCTATATTTTCTTACTCCAGTCAGAGCTCAAAAACCATGATAAACAATGACTGCTCGCTCAAGCATTCACTTCCATTGTCCAGGTATTTAACCATCATACACAATTCACACAAATACAGTCTGATACAGCAAGAACAAAAAAGAATGGGATGGCACAGTGAAGCACAAGCTCACATTCAAATTTTGGTTTCTTAGAGTTTGTAGGATGGCCACTCTGCTGAAATAGGTACCTGCGTAAACAGGTGAACTCTACTTCCTCTGCTATGAGGATCATCAGTTCTATGTGTTATTCTAGAGTTGTGATATATTAGACCTGCTATATCAGACATTAGTTAATGATGACAAATGATATAAATGATGACAAATGATATAAATGATGACAAATGATATAAATGATGACAAATGATATAAATGATGACAAATGATAACAATGATGACATATGGTATAAATGATGACAAATGATATAAATGATGATAAATGATATAAATGATGACAAATGATATAAATGATGACAAATGATATAAATGATGACAAATGAAAACAATGATGACATATGGTATAAATGATGACAAATGATATAATGATGACAAATGATATTAATGATGACAAATGATATAAATGATGACAAATGCTAACAATGATATCAATGATGATACGTGCTATGACTGACTTTGAGGTGATGTTTGCTGGGTGGGTCAGCTTGACCTCGCTCTCGTAAGGTGTGGGTGACTTAATGAACGTGCCATTAATCTTCAGGCCCTCGTTAAGTGATCCGTTAAAGTTTCCCTCCAGTTTGTCCCCAGTGGCCAGGGTCAAGGTGCCCTGGATGAGAATGTGTTGGTCAGTGATGAGAATGTGTTGGTCAGTGATGAGAATGTGTTGGTCAGTGATGAGAATGTGTTGGTCAGTGATGAGAATGTGTTGGTCAGTGATGAGAATGTGTTGGTCAGTGATGAGAATGTGTTGGTCAGTGATGAGAATGTGTTGGTCAGTGGTGAGAATGTGTTGGTCAGTGATGAGAATGTGTTGGTCAGTGATGAGAATGTGTTGGTCAGTGATGAGAATGTGTTGGTCAGTGGTGAGAATGTGTTGGTCAGTGATGAGAATGTGTTGGTCAGTGATGAGAATGTGTTGGTCAGTGGTGAGAATGTGTTGGTCAGTGGTGAGAATGTGTTGGTCAGTGGTGAGAATGTGTTGGTCAGTGGTGAGAATGTGTTGGTCAGTGATGAGAATGTGTTGGTCAGTGATGAGAATGTGTTGGTCAGTGATGAGAATGTGTTGGTCAGTGATGAGAATGTGTTGGTCAGTGATGAGAATGTGTTGGTCAGTGATGAGAATGTGTTGGTCAGTGATGAGAATGTGTTGGTCAGTGATGAGAATGTGTTGGTCAGTGGTGAGAATGTGTTGGTCAGTGATGAGAATGTGTTGGTCAGTGATGAGAATGTGTTGGTCAGTGATGAGAATGTGTTGGTCAGTGATGAGAATGTGTTGGTCAGTGGTGAGAATGTGTTGGTCAGTGATGAGAATGTGTTGGTCAGTGATGAGAATGTGTTGGTCAGTGATGAGAATGTGTTGGTCAGTGATGAGAATGTGTTGGTCAGTGGTGAGAATGTGTAGGTCAGTGGTGAGAATGTGTTGGTCAGTGATGAGAATGTGTTGGTCAGTGATGAGAATGTGTTGGTCAGTGATGAGAATGTGTTGGTCAGTGATGAGAATGTGTTGAAGCGTGGTGAGAATGTGTTGGTCAGTGATGAGAATGTGTTGGTCAGTGATGAGAATGTGTTGGTCAGTGATGAGAATGTGTTGGTCAGTGATGAGAATGTGTTGGTCAGTGATGAGAATGTGTTGGTCAGTGATGAGAATGTGTTGGTCAGTGGTGAGAATGTGTTGGTCAGTGATGAGAATGTGTTGGTCAGTGATGAGAATGTGTTGGTCAGTGATGAGAATGTGTTGGTCAGTGATGAGAATGTGTTGGCCAGTGATGAGAATGTGTTGGTCAGTGATGAGAATGTGTTGGTCAGTGGTGAGAATGTGTTGGTCAGTGATGAGAATGTGTTGGTCAGTGATGAGAATGTGTTGGTCAGTGATGAGAATGTGTTGGTCAGTGGTGAGAATGTGTTGGTCAGTGGTGAGAATGTGTTGGTCAGTGGTGAGAATGTGTTGGTCAGTGATGAGAATGTGTTGGTCAGTGATGAGAATGTGTTGGTCAGTGATGAGAATGTGTTGGTCAGTGGTGAGAATGTGTTGGTCAGTGGTGAGAATGTGTTGGTCAGTGATGAGAATGTGTTGGTCAGTGATGAGAATGTGTTGGTCAGTGATGAGAATGTGTTGGTCAGTGATGAGGTTTGAACAAAGAGCTGACACAAGGACTCACAGGTAATTTCTAATTAATTAATTACAATTTCAAGTACGCATTATATGAACTATCAATTAAAACAATAAAAGCAGTTGATGCGCCCCATAAAAGCACACATAACACATCCAACACACTACACACCTTGCCAGAGAGATGTGTTATACCGAAGAAGTCGCCCTCGTACAGCATGTTGTCGTCAGAGATCATCAGACCAAAACCCTGGGGGTGGGGGAGGGGGGGGAGAGAGAAATTACACATTAGACTTTTGCTGTATTAATAATTTATGTACCTATCTGTTAAACATTCATTATTTGTGATCTTGTCCAATGTTGACAGACTCAAGGTCAAGGTTGTTTGTCAGAATGTCACAGTGACTTACTGTCATCTTGCTCTGGACAAAGTTCCCTTCAAAGTACATGCCATCCAGGGTCACCATGACACCGTTGCCATGGCGATAGTCCTCCACCCACAGCCCCATGTACTTTTCACCTGCATGTAACAGCAATCTAATTAGTTTGTTTTTAATCAACATCCATCCAATCCTTTACCAAAACCATTCAAATTAATTATTTTAATTAGCATTTAGTCAATCTTTTACCAACACCATCCAGTCAATCTTTTACCAACACCATCCAGCCGCCAATCATTTAGTAACAAATGTAAGAATCTGTTACATCACAAACAAGACAATGCATGGCTGTTGACCTTTCACCCATTCTTCTAGCAAGCCATGACCTCTGACCTTTGAGGATGTCGTCCTCTACACCGTAACCGTCCCTCTGGTTACACAGCCATTCACCAATGTAGATGGACGTAAAGCTGGATTTGTGGCGCCCTGACCTGAACTTGCCGTGGCCAAACCTTTGACCCTCCTGGAAATATCCTTCGTACAGGTCACCATTGGGATAGCTAGATAGACATAAGACATACAGGTCACCAGCTAGACAGACACAAGACATACAGGTCACCAGCTAGACAGACACAAGACATACAGGTCACCAGCTAGACAGACACAAGACATACAGGTCACCAGCTAGAAAGACACAAGACATACAGGTCACCAGCTAGACAGACACAAGACATACAGGTCACCAGCTAGACAGACACAAGACATACAGGTCACCATTGGGGTAGCTAGACAGACACAAGACATACAGGTCACCAGCTAGACAGACACAAGACATACAGGTCACCAGCTAGACAGACACAAGACATACAGGTCACCAGCTAGACAGACACAAGACATACAGGTCACCAGCTAGACAGACACAAGACATACAGGTCACCATTGGGGTAGCTAGACAGACACAAGACATACAGGTCACCAGCTAGACAGACACAAGACATACAGGTCACCAGCTAGACAGACACAAGACATACAGGTCACCAGCTAGACAGACACAAGACATACAGGTCACCAGCTAGACAGACACAAGACATACAGGTCACCAGCTAGACAGACACAAGACATACAGGTCACCATTGGGGTAGCTAGACAGACACAAGACATACAGGTCACCAGCTAGACAGACACAAGACATACAGGTCACCAGCTAGACAGACACAAGACATACAGGTCACCAGCTAGACAGACACAAGACATACAGGTCACCAGCTAGACAGACACAAGACATACAGGTCACCATTGGGGTAGCTAGACAGACACAAGACATACAGGTCACCAGCTAGACAGACACAAGACATACAGGTCACCAGCTAGACAGACACAAGACATACAGGTCACCAGCTAGACAGACACAAGACATACAGGTCACCAGCTAGACAGACACAAGACATACAGGTCACCAGCTAGACAGACACAAGACATACAGGTCACCAGCTAGACAGACACAAGACATACAGGTCACCAGCTAGACAGACACAAGACATACAGGTCACCAGCTAGACAGACACAAGACATACAGGTCACCAGCTAGACAGACACAAGACATACAGGTCACCAGCTAGACAGACACAAGACATACAGGTCACCAGCTAGACAGACACAAGACATACAGGTCACCAGCTAGACAGACACAAGACATACAGGTCACCAGCTAGACAGACACAAGACATACAGGTCACCAGCTAGACAGACACAAGACATACAGGTCACCAGCTAGACAGACACAAGACATACAGGTCACCAGCTAGACAGACACAAGACAAACAGGTCACCAGGTAACACAACTTACCTGACTGTACCAAAGCCATTGAGCTTCCCATCCCTCCAGCTGCCTTTCTGTATCTCTTGTCCTGAGCTTTTTATCAAAATGTTTACACCAGATCTATAAATAAACCACAAGGGAAGCTACTCTCAAATTAAAAACAACTATACAGAAAGTGTGAAGAGTCAAATCTACAACTTGATTAAAACCCTGCTTGTAGGTTTAGACAACTTAAAAAAGGTTTAAACTTTACAACAATGTATAAAAGCCAAACAACCAAAAGATTGTCTAAAAAACAGGCCAAAAAAAAAAATCCCACCTACCCATGTTTGAGTCCCTTCTTAAACTCTCCTTCATAACTGGAGCCATCTGGGTATTTTAAACTGCCACTAGGGGGTTAAATATAGCATCATAATATAAACAGTTCATAACTGGAGCCATCTGGGTATTTTAAACTGCCACTAAAAACAAGGGGTTAAATATAGCATCATAATATAAACAGATGTAAAAAATATAGCTTTCCAAATTTAGTGTTAGCACATGCTGTGGTAGAATAATTCCCTCAACAAGATTACAAACAAATAATTTAAATATGGGCTTGTATGACAGCATTAGATTCATGTTCAATGTAAATTAGTGCTCTTTACTCCATTTATCATATGCATTGTTGCACTGATGTACATTTTTTATGTGTCAGTTTCCACAAACTATTCTCACACTTTTGTTTCCACAAACTATTCTCACACCTTTGTTTTCACAAACTATTCTCACATCTTTTGTTTCCACAAACTATTCTCACACCTTTTGTTGTGACAAACTATTCTCATATCTTTTGTTTCCAAACTATTCTCACACCTTTTGTAATCCTCAAACTATTCTCACACCTTTTATATCCACAAGTTATTCTCACAACTCTACTCTCCACTTACGTGCCATGCACCTTCCCAATAAGCCATGTCCCGTTATACGTGGCGTCCTTGTACGGGCCAGGCTTGACAAACTTGTGTGAGGCCTGACGTATGAGGGGTGGGGTGAACCTCTCCCCATTGCTGTGTCTGATGGCCGCAGATTTCTGGGTGAGCAAAACCTTGCTGATGGCAGAGTTGAGGGCGATCAACCACTCAGCCTGGGTGGGGGTAACAACAACATAAGGTAATAATTTTCTCTGTGTTGGTACTAAACATGATTTAAACAAACAACAACATGGGATAATAATTTTCTCTCTGTGTTGGTTCTAACAATGATTTAAACAAACAACATCAGATAATTTTCTCTCTGTGTTGGTACTAAACATGATTTAAGCAGAAGCTGTTGCAAGTTAACTTTTATTTAAAATCTCAAAGTGCTGACTTTATTAGAATTCTGTGCAGTGTTAGAAAATAGCATTTATTAACCCTTTGAGCCCTGGCCTCCCTGGCCTAGTTTCTCCCATTTCCTGAGCTGCCAGGGCCAAACCAATTTTCACTTATATGCTTATAACTTTGCCTATAACTTTTGAACCGTTTGAGATAATCAAGCCAAATTTGGTATCCAGACTCAGAAAGATTCGGAAATTTTTTATTTGTTTGCAGTGTATGAACAGAACAATGTATATAAATCGAACACATAATTATTGTTTAGATAGAACATAGAAGAAACAAATTTACATTTAGTAATTGTTTTGTTATTATTGATACCTGGCCATACTAGTTCATCGCCAGAAGTCTAGATTTGTGTGATAACTTTCAAAACAGTTATCACTAACGGACTCGATGCAAAGAACAAGTTCGCATGTTTTGCACCGGTAAACAGTTGTTTTTTTTCGTTTCGGCAAGTCTTTGTCCTTGGCACCACGTGCATCATAACGTACTTGAACAGTTTCGTTATCACTGTCAATTTCAATGTCACTGAGTTCAGTCTCAAATTCAACGTCACTATCATCATAATATAGACCAGGAATATTATCTTCTTCAACAGAATCAATATGTAGTTGTATTGCCTGAGATGCAGTCATTCTACTTCTTTTGTTGATATTTCGGTCTTTTGCTTCATCTTTTGCACCAACTTTATGTGCTAAAGTCGATGGCCGTGGCTCAACTTTTTCGTTTCGGCGGCATTGCTACGAAATGTAAACACTTTCACTTTTCCTAAAATCTATTTTTAGAATCATAATCACGCACTAAAAAGACATTTGCGCAGTTTTAGTCAGTCTTCCGCTAATTATATTTAATTAGACGGTATATCGTCCGCTAGGAATATGACGCTAGATCATCGGGCCGGAAAACCGGCTTTTCGGACATATATGCCTAATGTTAAAGCCGGTTTACCGGCCTGGCGGGCTCAAAGGGTTAAAAAGAATTAAATGTGACAATCAATGTTTAAAAAAATCTGGCCACCTGACCTTGTCTGCTGGTGTGGCTGTGAACAGGTCGTATCTGTCTTCTGGTGCTATGATGGAGATGGCATTGCTGCCAGATGGAGGGAGATGTAACACAAGAAATACAGATACATTACTATAGTAACCTTTGTCACTAAGTGTATAGACTGATGCATCATGTGAAAACCATTGAAATTTATAATTTATAATTGTTGTCGTGGCAACATTAATCTGATAAACTTAACGCCTGATAAAAAACTGACAATCGTAAAAAAAATGTCCTTACGGGTTCTCAGTGTCTGCTGTGGAGGACTCCACCCACATGGTCTCTAGGGGTAGGACAACAATGGCTGTACTCTGTAGGACAGGTCAAAGGTCACAGGGTTATTGAGTGTGTGTTTGTCATGCGCTACTCATGTGGGAGAAGGAAACATTTGATGTTTACAATGAGACTTAGAGACCAACCTGGACGTGAAGAAAGACGTCGTTGAACAAAACAAACTGTCTATAGGAGAGGGAAACATTTGATGTTTACAATGAGACTTAGAGACCAACCTGGACATGAAGAAAGACGTCGTTGAACAAAACAAACTGTCTATAGGAGAAGGAAATATTTGATGTTTACAGTGAGACTTAGAGACCAACCTGGACGTGAAGAAAGACGTCGTTGAACAAAACAAACTGTCTATAGGAGAGGGAAACATTTGATGTTTACAATGAGACTTAGAGACCAACCTGGACATGAAGAAAGACGTCGTTGAACAAAACAAACTGTCTATAGGAGAGGGAAACATTTGATGTTTACAATGAGACTTAGAGACCAACCTGGACATGAAGACGTCGTTGAACAAAACAAACTGTCTGTAGGAGAGAAGGAAACATTTTGATGTTTACAATGAGACTTAGAGACCAACCTGGACGTGAAGAAAGACGTCGTTGAACAAAACAAACTGTCTGTAGGAGAAGGAAACATTTGATGTTTACAATGAGACTTAGAGACCAACCTGGACGTGAAGAAAGACGTCGTTGAACAAAACAAACTGTCTATAGGAGAGGGAAACATTTGATGTTTACAATGAGACTTAGAGACCAACCTGGACATGAAGAAAGACGTCGTTGAACAAAACAAACTGTCTATAGGAGAAGGAAATATTTGATGTTTACAGTGAGACTTAGAGACCAACCTGGACGTGAAGAAAGACGTCGTTGAACAAAACAAACTGTCTATAGGAGAGGGAAACATTTGATGTTTACAATGAGACTTAGAGACCAACCTGGACATGAAGAAAGACGTCGTTGAACAAAACAAACTGTCTATAGGAGAGGGAAACATTTGATGTTTACAATGAGACTTAGAGACCAACCTGGACATGAAGAAAGACGTCGTTGAACAAAACAAACTGTCTGTAGGAGAATGAAACATTTGATGTTTACAGTGAGACTTAGAGACCAACCTGGACATGAAGAAAGACGTCGTTGAACAAAACAAACTGTCTATAGGAGAGGGAAACATTTGATGTTTACAATGAGACTTAGAGACCAACCTGGACATGAAGAAAGACGTCGTTGAACAAAACAAACTGTCTGTAGGAGAAGGAAACATTTTGATGTTTACAATGAGACTTAGAGACCAACCTGGACATGAAGAAAGACGTCGTTGAACAAAACAAACTGTCTGTAGGAGAAGGAAACATTTGATGTTTACAATGAGACTTAGAGACCAACCTGGACGTGAAGAAAGACGTCGTTGAACAAAACAAACTGTCTATAGGAGAGGGAAACATTTGATGTTTACAATGAGACTTAGAGACCAACCTGGACATGAAGAAAGACGTCGTTGAACAAAACAAACTGTCTATAGGAGAAGGAAACATTTGATGTTTACAGTGAGACTTAGAGACCAACCTGGACGTGAAGAAAGACGTCGTTGAACAAAACAAACTGTCTATAGGAGAAGGAAACATTTGATGTTTACAATGAGACTTAGAGACCAACCTGGACATGAAGAAAGACGTCGTTGAACAAAACAAACTGTCTGTAGGAGAGGGAAACATTTGATGTTTACAATGAGACTTAGAGACCAACCTGGACGTGAAGAAAGACGTCGTTGAACAAAACAAACTGTCTGTAGGAGAAGGAAACATTTGATGTTTACAATGAGACTTAGAGACCAACCTGGACATGAAGAAAGACGTCGTTGAACAAAACAAACTGTCTGTAGGAGAAGGAAACATTTGATGTTTACAGTGAGACTTAGAGACCAACCTGGACGTGAAGAAAGACGTCGTTGAACAAAACAAACTGTCTATAGGAGAAGGAAACATTTGATGTTTACAATGAGACTTAGAGACCAACCTGGACATGAAGAAAGACGTCGTTGAACAAAACAAACTGTCTGTAGGAGAGGGAAACATTTGATGTTTACAATGAGACTTAGAGACCAACCTGGACGTGAAGAAAGACGTCGTTGAACAAAACAAACTGTCTGTAGGAGAAGGAAACATTTGATGTTTACAGTGAGACTTAGAGACCAACCTGGACGTGAAGAAAGACGTCGTTGAACAAAACAAACTGTCTGTAGGAGAAGGAAACATTTGATGTTTACAATGAGACTTAGAGACCAACCTGGACGTGAAGAAAGACGTCGTTGAACAAAACAAACTGTCTATAGGAGAGGGAAACATTTGATGTTTACAATGAGACTTAGAGACCAACCTGGACATGAAGAAAGACGTCGTTGAACAAAACAAACTGTCTATAGGAGAAGGAAACATTTGATGTTTACAGTGAGACTTAGAGACCAACCTGGACGTGAAGAAAGACGTCGTTGAACAAAACAAACTGTCTATAGGAGAAGGAAACATTTGATGTTTACAATGAGACTTAGAGACCAACCTGGACATGAAGAAAGACGTCGTTGAACAAAACAAACTGTCTGTAGGAGAGGGAAACATTTGATGTTTACAATGAGACTTAGAGACCAACCTGGACGTGAAGAAAGACGTCGTTGAACAAAACAAACTGTCTGTAGGAGAAGGAAACATTTGATGTTTACAGTGAGACTTAGAGACCAACCTGGACGTGAAGAAAGACGTCGTTGAACAAAACAAACTGTCTATAGGAGAAGGAAACATTTGATGTTTACAATGAGACTTAGAGACCAACCTGGACATGAAGAAAGACGTCGTTGAACAAAACAAACTGTCTGTAGGAGAGGGAAACATTTGATGTTTACAATGAGACTTAGAGACCAACCTGGACATGAAGAAAGACGTCGTTGAACAAAACAAACTGTCTATAGGAGAAGGAAACATTTTGATGTTTACAATGAGACTTAGAGACCAACCTGGACATGAAGAAAGACGTCGTTGAACAAAACAAACTGTCTATAGGAGAGGGAAACATTTGATGTTTACAATGAGACTTAGAGACCAACCTGGACATGAAGAAAGACGTCGTTGAACAAAACAAACTGTCTGTAGGAGAAGAAAACATTTGATGTTTACAATGAGACTTAGAGACCAACCTGGACATGAAGAAAGACGTCGTTGAACAAAACAAACTGTCTGTAGGAGAATGAAACATTTGATGTTTACAATGAGACTTAGAGACCAACCTGGACATGAAGAAAGACGTCGTTGAACAAAACAAACTGTCTGTAGGAGAATGAAACATTTGATGTTTACAATGAGACTTAGAGACCAACCTGGACATGAAGAAAGACGTCGTTGAACAAAACAAACTGTCTGTAGGAGAATGAAACATTTGATGTTTACAATGAGACTGTCTTAGAGACCAACCTGGACGTGAAGAAAGACGTCGTTGAACAAAACAAACTGTCTGTAGGAGAATGAAACATTTGATGTTTACAATGAGACTTAGAGACCAACCTGGACATGAAGAAAGACGTCGTTGAACAAAACAAACTGTCTATAGAAGGAAACATTTGATGTTTACAATGAGACTTAGAGACCAACCTGGACATGAAGAAAGACGTCGTTGAACAAAACAAACTGTCTGTAGGAGAATGAAACCTTTGATATGTTTACAATGAGACTTAGAGACCAACCTGGACATGAAAAAGACGTCGTTGAACAAAACAAATTGTCTGTAGGAGAATGAAACATTTGATGTTTACAATGAGACTTAGAGACCAACCTGGACATGAAGAAAGACGTCGTTGAACAAAACAAACTGTCTGTAGGAGAATGAAACATTTGATGTTTACAATGAGACTTAGAGACCAACCTGGACATGAAGAAAGACGTCGTTGAACAAAACAAACTGTCTGTAGGAGAGAAGGAAACATTTGATGTTTACAATGAGACTTAGAGACCAACCTGGACATGAAGAAAGACGTCGTTGAACAAAACAAACTGTCTATAGAAGGAAACATTTGATGTTTACAATGAGACTTAGAGACCAACCTGGACATGAAGAAAGACGTCGTTGAACAAAACAAACTGTCTGTAGGAGAAGCGTCCACCAGCTGGCCAGTTGAGTGGGCGGGTCTTGCTGTCTAGCAGCATCCTGCGTGTGGGCGTCTTCATCATGTCCTGGGATAGACACACATGGACAGCTGCTGTCATTCATCTCACATTCATGTCATGGTGCATACATACACATGGACAGCTGCTGTCATTCATCTCACATTCATGCCATGGTACATACACACACATGGACAGCTGCTGTCATTCATCTCACATTAGAAGTTTAATTAAGTACAAGTAATGATTAAATGGGTGTTTTCATATGATAGGATGCAATGTATGACACAATCAGACAGACAATCAAAGTCAGGCCACCTACAGCCACTTTAGGGTTGGCCGTCTCCCAGAATGTTCTAGTTGCCTCAGCCAGCTTGTGTTCAGAAGAGAAGTAGAGTTTGACACTGTCCCACTCATAGATCAGGTTCTGTAGCTGGTCCTTGACCTCTGGCCTCTGTAGACAGGTCACAACAAAATTACTAGTCTGTCATCTCAGGTCACACCACAACAAAATTACTGGTCTGTCACCTCAGGTCACAACAAAATTACTAGTCTGTCATCTCAGGTCACACCACAACAAAATTACTGGTCTTTTATCTCAGGTCACACCACAACAAAATTACTGGTCTTTTATCTCAGGTCACACCACAACAAAATTACTGGTCTGTCACCTCAGGTCACACCACAACAAAATTACTGGTCTGTCACCTCAGGTCACACCACAACAAAATTACTGGTCTTTTATCTCAGGTCACACCACAACAAAATTACTGGTCTGTCATCTCAGGTCACACCACAACAAAATTACTGGTCTTTCATCTCAGGTCACAACAAAATTACTGGTCTGTCATCTCAGGTCACACCACAACAAAATTACTGGTCTTTTATCTCAGGTCACAACAAAATTACTGGTCTGTCACCTCAGGTCACAACAAAATTACTGGTCTGTCACCTCAGGTCACACCACAACAAAATTACTGGTCTGTCACCTCAGGTCACAACACAACAAAATTACTGGTCTGTCACCTCAGGTCACACCACAACAAAATTACTGGTCTGTCACCTCAGGTCACACCACAACAAAATTACTGGTCTGTCACCTCAGGTCACAACACAACAAAATTACTGGTCTGTCACCTCAGGTCACACCACAACAAAATTACTGGTCTGTCACCTCAGGTCACACCACAACAAAATTACTGGTCTGTCACCTCAGGTCACAACACAACAAAATTACTGGTCTGTCACCTCAGGTCACACCACAACAAAATTACTGGTCTGTCACCTCAGGTCACAACACAACAAAATTACTGGTCTTTCATCTCAGGTCACAACAAAATTACTGGTCTGTCACCTCAGGTCACACCACAACAAAATTACTGGTCTGTCACCTCAGGTCACACCACAACAAAATTACTGGTCTGTCACCTCAGGTCACAACACAACAAAATTACTGGTCTGTCACCTCAGGTCACACCACAACAAAATTACTGGTCTGTCACCTCAGGTCACACCACAACAAAATTACTGGTCTGTCATCTCAGGTCACACCACACCAAAATTACTCATGGGATAAGGTGAAGCAGCCATTTTGTAAGGCCACACTAAGTCCATCTGGACAGTTTTCTCACAGCACAAGAACTCACCTCACTGGATAACATCTGGACAGTTTTCTCACAGCACAAGAACTCACCTCACTGGATAACATCTGGACAGTTTTCTCACAGCACAAGAACTCACCTCACTGGATAACATCTGGACAGTTTTCTCACAGCACAAGAACTCACCTCACTGGATAACATCTTGACAGTTTTCTCACAACACTAGAACTCACCTCACTGGATAACATCTGGACAGTTTTCTCACCACACAAGAACTCACCTCACTGGATAACATCTGGACAGTTTTCTCACCACACAAGAACTCACCTCACTGGATAACATCTGGACAGTTTTCTCACCACACAAGAACTCACCTGACTGGATAACATCTGGACAGTTTTCTCACAACACAAGAACTCACCTGACTGGATAACTTCATCTTCTCCAGGATCCGGCTGTAATCCGCCACCCTGAAGAACGGATACCTCATGGCTCGCATGAAGAGTGTGCTGGCACCAGTGGTCTTGTCCTTCTCATCAGACAGGTCTCTGATGGAACCTTGCATCTTCTCAAAGAACTCACTAGGTCAGATAGATTGGTCAGATAGATTGGTCAAATAGATTGGTCAAATAGATTAGTCAAAGAACTCACTAGATCAATTAGATTGGTCAAATAGATTGGTCAAATAGATTGGTCAAATAGATTGGTCAAATAGATTGGTCAAATAGATTGGTCAAATAGATTGGTCAAATAGATTGGTCAAATAGATTGGTCAAATAGATTGGTCAAATAGATTGGTCAAATAGATTGGTCAAATAGATTGGTCAAATAGATTGGTCAAATAGATTGGTCAAATAGATTGGTCAAATAGATTGGTCAAATAGATTGGTCAAATAGATTGGTCAAATAGATTGGTCAAATAGATTGGTCAAATAGATTGGTCAAATAGATTGGTCAAATAGATTGGTCAAAGAAGTCACTGGGTCAAATAGATTGGTCAATGAACTAACTAGGTCAAATAGATTGGTCAAAGAACTCACTAGGTCAAATAGATTGGTCAAATAACTAAGTAGGTCAAATAGATTGGTCAAAGAACTAAGTAGGTCAAATAGATTGGTCAAAGAACTAGATCAAATAGATTGGTCAGATAGATTGGTCAAAGAACTCACTAGGTCAAATAGATTGGTCAAATAGATTGGTCAAATAGATTGGTCAAATAGATTGGTCAAAAAACTAAGTAGGTCAAATAGATTGGTCAATGAACTAACTAGGTCAAATAGATTGGTCAAAGAACTCACTAGGTCAAATAGATTGGTCAAAGAACTCACTAGTTCAAATAGATTGGTCAAAGAACTCACTAGGTCAAATAGATTGGTCAAAGAACTCACTAGGTCAAATAGATTGGTCAAAGAACTCACTAGGTCAAATAGATTGGTCAAAGAACTCACTAGGTCAAATAGATTGGTCAAAGAACTCACTAGGTCAAATAGATTGGTCAAAGAACTCACTAGGTCAAATAGATTGGTAAAAGAACTCACTAGGTCAAATAGATTGGTCAAATAACTAACTAGGTCAAATAGATTGGTCAAAGAACTAACTAGGTCAAATAGATTGGTCAAAGAACATTCAATAAGTCAAATAAAACATGTTTTTTGTCAAATAACAAAATTTCAATTCGTTAAAAAAAAAAAACAATTTAAAACTGTTCACAAATACACTAAAATTCTCCTAAATACTAAAATTGTTTTGTTGTATGACATTTTGTATCATTTGCCTGAGATATTTTGTCTGTTTCCAGCCATCCTTTTATCATACACATAAAATGGCCTCCAGTATACAGAGGTTTATTCTTGAGTTCTGCAATTTAAAAAATTCCCTACCTGCCTGCCTTGGTGCAGTAATCAAATCCCTACCTGCCTGCCTTGGTGCAGTAATCAAATCCCTACCTGCCTGCCTTGGTGCAGTAATCAAATCCCTACCTGCCTGCCTTGGTGCAGTAATCAAATCCCTACCTGCCTGCCTTGGTGCAGTAATCAAATCCCCACCTGCCAGCCTTGGTGCAGTAATCAAATCCCTACCTGCCAGCCTTGGTGCAGTAATCAAATCCCCTAACAGCCAGGAAATCAGAAAACCTCAGGGAATATGTTCTAAAGGCTTCAACAAATGGTTTGTTGTCTCCCAGCATCAGAGAGTGGCTCAAGGGGGAGGCACTCTGGATGTTCAATGTCAGGTCTGTTATACCCTCTCCTATCTGGGGACATGGGGACAACTTTGGGTGTAAATAATGGCATTTACTACACATGACTCGGCCTATCTGGGGACAACTTTGGGTGTAAAGAATGGCATTTACTACACACGACTCGGTCATAAGATCTTTTATTTATCAATATTTTTAACACAATTTTTCTAAGCAAAATAACCAATGAAAAGTGGTAAAAAAATAGATCCTGTAATGTAGGTGTGCCTGGTATGGTGAAAATGAACAAATTATATCATGAAACAATGTGCAGATAAAAATAAAATCAAAACATACTCTTTTAGTGAGAGTCCCAAATGTTGACACCAGATTTTGTAGCGCAGATTTGTATGGATAAACATCCATGGATGAATAAAAAGCTGGGGAATGGATTCAGGTATCAACAGTTTGAACACAGCAACAAAAAAAACAAGTTAATTAAAAAGTCTAGTGAAAATTTTAGCGCAATTTCCTTATGTACGCGTCATCACGTTCAATAGCTGCGCCATCACGTTCAGTAGGCGCGCAATGGTTTTTAGTCATATAACTCTATTGTTTTTAAAAAATGTGAAAAAATTATTAGGCCTAGCGAAACAAAACCTTGTAATGGTAACTCCCTATCACTCTCATATAAATTATAAATAAATTAATAGGGTATAAAAATAACGTTTGAATTGATAAGTAAATAAGTAATTAAAAAAAATCCTTTCGAACCTCAGCGCTTTGCGCTAAAAATCTACAAGACGCTCAGTTTAAAATATATTAAAAAAATTTTTGTGACCGAACGAAAGGATATTTTTGAAAACTTTCTTCGGCAATATTGGTTTAAATTATTGCAGGAATCGATTGGTAAATGTTTCAAGTCGCTAAGTGGTCTGGTTGCCGAGATATGGAGCTTAATCTGCATTTGTTCGAGGTTTTTTGGCTTTTCCGGGAAATCTATTAAGGAATTCCGGAATTTTTTTGGCCCACTATCATCCTCGTAACTTGCTTAACATAATTGCTTTGGAACTAGTCCTCGATATTGCTTCGTTGAGGAGGAGATACGACTTAAAGCTGCGGACACACATCCATTCCCAGAAAAGACGAGTTAATAAACGCAATTCTCCAGAATGGAAATTGCGCTAAAAATTTAAAGGCTACAGATTCAATGGTTTATATAAGTACAAATTGAACATTCAAACAGAATTCTCCCCCCCTTTAATGAGAGCTAGATAGCTCTCCTTAATACAGAGATGGACACTCTCCCCATGCCCCCCTCCCTCTCCACTTACATGACCTCTGCAGGGGTCTCAGCAGCAGGTTTGTTGTTTTGATCAGCTGGTTGTAGAAGGCTCGCTCTGATGCTGCCAGCTCAAAGATGGCTGCCGTCTCTGGTGGGGCGGGGTGCAGGAGTTTACAGGCACAGCTGGCGCCACCTGCACGGACTCTGGTGATCCAGCCCAGCTGCGGAGCAGGTCAGGTGACAGGAAGTTATGACAAGAGGATTTAAAACATTTCTTTAGACTCCATTACTGGCAGTATAGAAAGTTTACAAACATTTCTTTAGACTCCATTACTGGCATTAGAGAAAGTTTTGCTGCAGTATTGTGACAATAGGACCAGGAATTTCATTTGAAGATGTGATATAGTGGTAGTGGAAAGAACAGAAAATAAATCTTTATTGTATCTTACAATGTGATCACACAGCCCACCTACAGAGCTGTACTATACAAGTCATGGAACCATGGCACCATCTTACAATGTGATCACACAGCCCACCTACAGAGCTGTACTATACAAGTCATAGAACCATGGCGCCATCTTACAATGTGATCACACAGCCCACCTACAGAGCTGTACTATACAAGCCATGGCACCATCTTACAATGTGATCACACAGCCCACCTACAGAGCTGTACTAAACAAGTCATAGAACCATGGCACCATCTTACAATGTGATCACACAGCCCACCTACAGAGCTGTACTATACAAGTAATAGAACCATGGCGCCATCTTACAATGTGATCACACAGCCCACCTACAGAGCTGTACTATACAAGTCATGGCACCATCTTACAATGTGATCACACAGCCCACCTACAGAGCTGTACTATACAAGTCTTGGCACCATCTTACAATGTGATCACACAGCCCACCTACAGAGCTGTACTATACAAGTCATGGAACCATGGCACCATCTTACAATGTGATCACACAGCCCACCTACAGAGCTGTACTATACAAGTCATGGCACCATCTTACAATGTGATCACACAGCCCACCTACAGAGCTGTACTATACAAGTCATGGAACCATCTTACAATGTGATCACACAGCCCACCTACATAGCTGTACTATACAAGTCATGGAACCATGGCACCATCTTACAATGTGATCACACAGCCCACCTACAGAGCTGTACTATACAAGTCATGGAACCATGGCGCCATCTTACAATGTGATCACACAGCCCACCTACAGAGCTGTACTATACAAGTCATGGAACCATGGCACCATCTTACAATGTGATCACACAGCCCACCTACAGAGCTGTACTATACAAGTCATGGAACCATCTTACAATGTGATCACACAGCACACCTACAGAGCTGTCCTACACAAGTCATGGAACCATGGCGCCATCTTACAATGTGATCACACAGCCCACCTACAGAGCTGTACTATACAAGTCATAGAACCATGGCACCATCTTACAATGTGATCACACAGCCCACCTACAGAGCTGTACTATACAAGTCATGGCACCATCTTACAATGTGATCACACAGCCCACCTACAGAGCTGTACTATACAAGTCATGGAACCATGGCGCCATCTTACAATGTGATCACACAGCCCACCTACAGAGCTGTACTATACAAGTCATGGCACCATCTTACAATGTGATCACACAGCCCACCTACAGAGCTGTACTATACAAGTCATGGAACCATGGCACCATCTTACAATGTGATCACACAGCCCACCTACAGAGCTGTAGGGGCCTACTACACAAGTCATGGAACCATGGCACCATCTTACAATGTGATCACACAGCCCACCTACAGAGCTGTACTACACAAGTCATGGAACCATGGCACCATCTTACAATGTGATCACACAGCCCACCTACAGAGCTGTAGGGGCCTACTATACAAGTCATGGAACCATGGCGCCATCTTACAATGTGATCACACAGCCCACCTACAGAGCTGTACTATACAAGTCATGGAACCATGGCACCATCTTACAATGTGATCACACAGCACACCTACAGAGCTGTACTATACAAGTCATGGAACCATGGCGCCATCTTACAATGTGATCACACAGCACACCTACCGAGCTGTACTATACAAGTTATGGAACCATGGCATGGAACCATGTGCTATACAAGTCATGGAACCATGGCACCATCTTACAATGTGATCACACAGCACACCTACAGAGCTGTGCTATACAAGTCATGGAACCATGGCACCATCTTACAATGTGATCACACAGCACACCTACAGAGCTGTACTATACAAGTCATGGAACCATGGCACCATCTTACAATGTGATCACACAGCCCACCTACAGAGCTGTGCTACACAAGTCATGGAACCATGGCACCATTTTACAATGTGATCACACAGCCCACCTACAGAGCTGTGCTATACAAGTCATGGAACCATGGCACCATCTTACAATGTGATCACACAGCACACCTACAGAGCTGTACTATACAAGTCATGGAACCATGGCACCATCTTACAATGTGATCACACAGCCCACCTACAGAGCTGTACTACACAAGTCATGGAACCATGGCACCATCTAACAATGTGATCACACAGCCCACCTACAGAGCTGTGCTATACAAGTCATGGAACCATGGCGCCATCTTACAATGTGATCACACAGCACACCTACAGAGCTGTACTACACAAGTCATGGAACTATGGCACCATCTTACAATGTGATCACACAGCCCACCTACAGAGCTGTACTATACAAGTCATGGAACCATGGCACCATCTTACAATGTGATCACACAGCCCACCTACAGAACTGTACTATACAAGTCATGGAACCATCTTACAATGTGATCACACAGCCCACCTACAGAGCTGTACTATACAAGTCATGGAACCATGGCGCCATCTTACAATGTGATCACACAGCACACCTACAGAGCTGTACTATACAAGTCATGGAACCATGGCTCCATCTTACAATGTGATCACACAGCCCACCTACAGAGCTGTAGGGGCCTACTATACAAGTCATGGAACCATGGCACCATCTTACAATGTGATAACACAGCACACCTACAGAGCTGTGCTATACAAGTCATGGAACCATGGCACCATCTTACAATGTGATCACACAGCCCACCTACAGAGCTGTACTATACAAGTCATAGAACCATGGCACCATCTTACAATGTGATCACACAGCCCACCTACAGAGCTGTACTATACAAGTCATGGAACCATGGCACCATCTTACAATGTGATCACACAGCACACCTACAGAGCTGTAGGGGCCTACTATACAAGTCATGGAACCATGGCGCCATCTTACAATGTGATCACACAGCCCACCTACAGAGCTGTACTATACAAGTCATGGAACCATGGCACCATCTTACAATGTGATCACACAGCCCACCTACAGAGCTGTGCTATACAAGTCATGGAACCATGGCACCATCTTACAATGTGATCACACAGCCCACCTACAGAGCTGTACTACACAAGTCATGGAACCATGGCACCATCTTACAATGTGATCACACAGCCCACCTACAGAGCTGTACTACACAAGTCATGGAACCATGGCACCATCTTACAATGTGATCACACAGCACACCTACAGAGCTGTAGGGGCCTACTATACAAGTCATGGAACCATGGCGCCATCTTACAATGTGATCACACAGCCCACCTACAGAGCTGTACTATACAAGTCATAGAACCATGGCACCATCTTACAATGTGATCACACAGCCCACCTACAGAGCTGTACTATACAAGTCATGGAACCATGGCACCATCTTACAATGTGATCACACAGCACACCTACAGAGCTGTAGGGGCCTACTATACAAGTCATAGAACCATGACGCCATCTTACAATGTGATCACACAGCCCACCTACAGAGCTGTACTATACAAGTCATGGAACCATGGCACCATCTTACAATGTGATCACACAGCCCAACTACAGAGCTGTAGGGGCCTACTACACAAGTCATGGAACCATGGCACCATCTTACAATGTGATCACACAGCCCACCTACAGAGCTGTACTATACAAGTCATGGAACCATGGCACCATCTTACAATGTGATCACACAGCCCACCTACAGAGCTGTACTATACAAGTCATGGAACCATCTTACAATGTGATCACACAGCACACCTACAGAGCTGTCCTACACAAGTCATGGAACCATGGCGCCATCTTACAATGTGATCACACAGCCCACCTACAGAGCTGTACTATACAAGTCATAGAACCATGGCACCATCTTACAATGTGATCACACAGCCCACCTACAGAGCTGTACTATACAAGTCATGGCACCATCTTACAATGTGATCACACAGCCCACCTACAGAGCTGTACTATACAAGTCATGGAACCATGGCGCCATCTTACAATGTGATCACACAGCCCACCTACAGAGCTGTACTATACAAGTCATGGCACCATCTTACAATGTGATCACACAGCCCACCTACAGAGCTGTACTATACAAGTCATGGAACCATGGCACCATCTTACAATGTGATCACACAGCCCACCTACAGAGCTGTAGGGGCCTACTACACAAGTCATGGAACCATGGCACCATCTTACAATGTGATCACACAGCCCACCTACAGAGCTGTACTACACAAGTCATGGAACCATGGCACCATCTTACAATGTGATCACACAGCCCACCTACAGAGCTGTAGGGGCCTACTATACAAGTCATGGAACCATGGCGCCATCTTACAATGTGATCACACAGCCCACCTACAGAGCTGTACTATACAAGTCATGGAACCATGGCACCATCTTACAATGTGATCACACAGCACACCTACAGAGCTGTACTATACAAGTCATGGAACCATGGCGCCATCTTACAATGTGATCACACAGCACACCTACCGAGCTGTACTATACAAGTTATGGAACCATGGCATGGAACCATGTGCTATACAAGTCATGGAACCATGGCACCATCTTACAATGTGATCACACAGCACACCTACAGAGCTGTGCTATACAAGTCATGGAACCATGGCACCATCTTACAATGTGATCACACAGCACACCTACAGAGCTGTACTATACAAGTCATGGAACCATGGCACCATCTTACAATGTGATCACACAGCCCACCTACAGAGCTGTGCTACACAAGTCATGGAACCATGGCACCATTTTACAATGTGATCACACAGCCCACCTACAGAGCTGT